AGTGGATTTGATAGACGCTTTATCTTTTGCCTTTAATTAGGGGCAGATTTCGGGAGAGACGTTACAGGTTAATCACAGTCACATTCATTAAGATGCACCAATGTAGTATAATTCTTGTTCAGTGCCATTATCTGCACAGATATAGAGTAATTAATTGGATTTCACCTTTGGCTTTATGACCCGTCTACATGAGTTTTTACTGGGGCTTGCAGCTCCAGACGCTGCTGTCTGGTTGCAGTCGATCTCCCTGTTCATGTTTGTGCTTTGTCACCGTGTTAATTGGCAATACCTCAAGCACAAAAACACCTATCTAATTAGAGGAGCTACCAACAGCTCGGAGAGACATCTAAGAGAATCTAAAATGTGATTCTGTACTCCTTTAAGCTTAGAAAAATCATTAAATGTTATAATTAAATATATAAAAACAACTTGCCTTAATGTGACATTCATAATCATAAGACCGGGGCAGAGGCTATGTAGAGTATTCATTTTAATATATTAGCAGCTTAATGGTCTGTAATTGTGCCTTGCCTGCAGGTTTAAGTGTTGATTTACAAGGAGCACAGGGCGAGTGAAACAATGAAGTGGAAATATTTGATTTTTCCTTAAAGTAAATAAAGCTCTTATTTTGGTTATCTTTAGTTTTTATCTTACATTTAGATACAAACTATGTTTTAATGTCCGTGTTTTATAAGTATTAGTTTCAATTCTTGATTCGGGCCGGTCTGCCTGTTGACACTTTGGCAAAAACTTTACTTAATATTAAGAAAACACCAACAGTGAAATGTTAATGTTTTGACTTTATCATTAAGTCGACCTACAAGGAGGCGAATAAGAATACTAGATCATAGAGGTGCCACCACCAGCTGTGGAATCTGAGCTCTCTTTTAGCTCTGTAAATTATTTTTCAACCACGTAAGACATTGTCAAACAATACTTTGAGTCCCCTTGTTTATTTCTTTAGAATAAGCAGGATAATGTATAGTAGGCAGGATATTACAGCTGATTGGATTCCAAGAAAGGTGAGCAAGACCCCGGTGAAGAGGAGTCTAGCATTAACTTACTCATTATCTTGAACAAAACCCTTATTTATTTAAACCTTAAAAGTATTTAGTCTGTAATGTCAGGATAATTTCTTTTCAATAAAAACATGATGTTAGATGTTTGGACATTTATTTTTTTTAGTTTTTAACATACAAGAACAGAAAATCATGCCGTTAATAACAAAAAATATTTTCATTAGATCAACACAGAAACAAAAACAGAAGTAATCGCAGTAATATATTTAATAAACAAAAATTAATAATAATAAATTAAAAAAAAAAGAAAAACTAAAGTAATATATTAAAATATATATATATTTGTAATGAATAAAAGTTGTCACACTCTAGAGTATAATTTTGACATTATTGTTGCCTGAGAAATTCCAATCAGGATGTCTAACATAAATAGCTTAAATAAATTATGGTAATGAATGGCGAGACATTGATGAAGAACCCTTTGCTTTGCGTTACTATCTACACTAAGTATTGATTTAAATACGTTTTAACTGATAAAAATTATGTATTTATTTATTTATTCATACAAAAATGACTCCTCACCAAATTCTAGTCATTGGAGCATCATGGTAACCGGATCTCATCATCCTACTAAAAGGTGAAATTAACACTTAACTTTTTCATCCACACTAAAGCGGGGGCAATTGTTTCATATATGTAAATAATATCAATTTCACATATTTATAGTATTTTTGGAAAGTTCATATTAAAAGTCTTATTTAAAATCCCATTAATCTAAAAATTTAATTCACAGTAAAGTCAAAACATTGGCGTCTTAATGACGTTTTTAACAGATGAAGAACTTAACAGCAGCACCTGTGTATGGTCCTCTGTCTAGTAATTTTTATGTTGACATTTACGCCCTCTTTACCAGACCTGTAACACCGCTAACGCCCAAACTATATCAGTTTTTCCATCAGTTTGTGTCGGTTTTATTTAATTTGGTTGATGTCTTTAACTCCGCCCTTCCTCGCTAGTTGCTTTCTTCCTTCTGTCCTCTCTGAAGTTAACTGGTCAGTCATTAACATCCTCCAAAATTCACATCCTTTTAACTAATTTAACAAGCTAACACATCAAACTAGCTCAAGCTTCAGATATTGAAATTATCACCACGACCAGAAAACACATCATATCAGCCTGCCTCTCTTTCAATACAATATTTCGTTCTTCACAAAGGAAACCGTGTATTTTAAGTCAGTGTTTTTTCAGCCCTTCATCTCTACTGCAAAGAAGTGTTGATAGCGAGCGCAGACCTGTATGTGAGAGGCTAGGTCAGTAATGACTGTGTGCCGTGACTCAGAGTGAAGAGGCTTTTTAGAGTTTTTGTCAACAGTTATGAAAAGAACATCTGCTTTAAGACTGCCACAGAAATGTATGCACACGAGAGGAAAGGTAGATAACACAGGGTTGAAGTACTTTCGCTGGTAATATCTGAAAGCTTTTCCATTAATAGTGAGACGTATACAGAAAAGTGAAAGAGAGAGTAGGAGGAAGTCATCTACAGACCTGACCTCATTGAAAAACTGCTGCACAGGCCTTTCAGTGAAAAGCTTCAACTGACTTTTTTTTTTCTCTCTTTTATTCAAGTCAAAGTACTTATTCAACATATAAAAACGCAGAAAAAAATGGACAATTGTAGTGGAAGAAAAAAAAAGATGGGAGTGAGACTTCAACTTATTGTTTCAGCATTTTGGTTTTCACTGACAGGACAGGAGTTAAAGAGTTAAGAGTGGGGCAGACTGAAAACAGTGAGTGACCCTCCAAACATGAGGTGCACACATAGACTGTATAGACGGGTTTCTGGTGTACAAACAATACTAGGTGTGCATGCAACCAGGGGGGGCAAAAGCCTGCTTTGGAGTGAACTGATGTCAGTGAAGATGCTGTATTGTTTTTAAGTTCTCCCTGACACAATCGCAATAAAATGTCTTTTCATTGAAAAATCGCTTTGTCTTTAATTGCATCTAAATCAGAAAAATACAACCCATAAGTTTTATCAAGTGTCAATCATAGAAAACATGAACCCCATAATAACTTTTAAAAATGGAGCTGTACAGAAAAAAGAGGACTTGAGCACAAACCAGTCTGACAGTAACTACATGTCAACATCACAACCAGGGGGGAGAGAAATATATAATCTGTGTATTAAATTTCTAAAGTTTGTCCACAGCTCCATAGGGATTGCTGGAGGAGGCGGGATTTATAACCTATAATGCAGCCCGTCACCAGAGGGTGCTGTTCTCAGAGCGGCTTCACCCAGCTGGGTGGCAGATGGCGTCCATTCTATATACAGTCTATGATCGCACACCTCCACAGCTGGGCAAAGTGTTTCCCACAGGAGCTTGAATTTAACAAAATAATCATCAGTCTGAGCTAACTTCCAAATAGTTTCTTCACTTTTCTGTCTTTTTCTACACAATCCAAGAGACAGACAGGTCACACTAACTTCTCTGACATACATCTGTGATAACATTGTGTTACCGCTCACTTGGATTAAAAGTGCTCCTACAGTGTGTCGTATATATAGGACAGATGGATAACTTCAGACTGGAGAAGAGCTGAATGCTCATGTCAAGTGATACCCTTTTTTTTTCTCTCTTTTTACAGATTGTAATGAATCACTCAGGGGAAGAAACCAGACAGACAAGGCTGTCAGCCATGCACCTTCATTAGTGTCAGATTGAACTTCGATAAAATTTATAAAAGTTTGCCAAGTCTCATTTAGTCTGACACGTCAGACCTGAGCACAGCTGAGGAGCTTTCTCAAATCCTGGACTTCACACGTTTGATCTCACTTGTATCTGCCTCTTTAAACATGAGCGAATCAAACAGTCTGAAAATACTCAACACTTTGACAGGAGTTGACTTTTTATGAGTAGAATGAAGTCAGGAAATAAATGTACTGCTTTCAATGCGACCTATTACTGCTGCAAATGTTCCTAGATTAATTAGCTGAGGACAGAAACATCAATTACATGGTGGAATAAATTAAGACAAGCTGCTGACGTATAAAAAGTCTGTCAGGTTAACGGATGAAAAAGTTTATTAATGACTTGTATGTGTAAGTTATGTATTCTCTGACATTCAGGACTCAGAAATACCCCTTCAATTTAACCTCCATTAAACTTCCCTCTACTTTTGAAGTTAAATCTTCAACATAGTTTTAGGCAAAGGTTTAAAGTTCAAGAAACAAAGCAAGAGCTTAGACCCGGTATTAGATAAACCTTGTCAAAATTAAATAAAACACAAACTAATGATTTTGTTCCAAGCGTGACCAGAGAGAGCAAAAGAAACTTCAGACTGAAAAAATAAGACACAGGGCCAGTTTTTATTCTAGTATTTTTTAGTATCTAGTATTTTTTTTTTATTTTTGTTGCACCATCATTCCAAAACAAATTCCTAGTCTGTGAATCCTGTTCATCGACAATGGCAATAAAACCCCTTCTGATTCTGATTCACTTAAAAACTGCAGACTAATTTGGTGCAAATAAGCTAAAAAGACGAGGGCTGAACAATTCCTCGAGTACCTTAATTACAAAAAATGATTGGGGGATTTTCTCTGCCTCGAGTACTCATTCGTAAGCTAAAATCGTCACTGTTTCGCACAGTTTCAGGTTCTTTTCAAGGTGACACAACGCGCTTACGTCAACACGATAGAAGCACGGTTTTGGTTTAGCAGAGCGGAAAAAATGAACGGTGAGGGGGCTTTTCTTCTGCAGAGCTCCAGTAGCTCATAAGTAATCCGCCTCTGAGTCGTGGGCGGAGACAGCGCTGCTCTGCACTCTCCTCTTTACGCTAGCTTGTAGCCTAACATTGCCGTTGTAGAAGAAGTGGCAGGTAACATAGAAGCTATTCAGCTCTCGGACACTAATGTCTTTGGGGACACGATGAAAGTTAATATCATAATTAGCTTTCTTACGAGCATTGCAATCTGCTAACTTGTTCCGTGATCGTCCTCTCTATGTCTCAGAGTCTGGCCTGCATAGCGGGGCTCTGGGGGCGGAGCTTGATTTGCTACGTAGGAAGTCTCACTGTATCTGAGTCTGCTGTTTGAGTCTGATTACTCAAGTAATCGATGGAATATTCGGTAGAATACTAGATTACTAAAATATTCAATAGCTGCAGACCTCAAAAAAACATAATCTTATTTTCAGAGAATCCACCAAACTGTGCTGCAGATAAGATTGTGTCACTGTGCGCAGGTGTTGTCTGCATAGATTCAGCTGTAATAATGAAGCTTTTATCACATCGTTCACAAATGGTATAAGAGTTTTCTCGTCATCCAGCTCATCATCTTTTTGTGGACAGATTCAATCTATATGAAGATAAAAGGGCACAACACAGCTTACCACAGCAAAAGATAAAGATGCTGACAGCTCATTTACACAATTAGACGCAACACAAGAACAAACTGCAATTAACTGCATTAAAAGTTTTGTATTACTGACATTTTTGCACCTGAATATTCAACATGTTGTTTGAATATGAACTTTGGATAAGAAGGAGAAAGGTTTGCACTATTCAATCCATCTTTTTATGAAAATTCTCTCTCACTGTGCGGATTTTTTCCCATTTGTTCTGATTTTTAACAAACAAATCAATCAATCAGGAGACGTCTGAATAGAAACAGAGGTAGGGGTCAAAAATGTTTTGTTCAGGGTAATAATTACTTTGCTCAAGCACCATAACGGTCCACAAAGAAAACAAAAATCTGTCTCAGGCGTCACCTCGACTTAAATCCTTCTTCTTATTTGAATCTGCAGATTTCACCTACACTCAAGGGTAAAAAATTGCGACCTCAAACAACTCTTGCGACAAAGATGATTGAGTAATTAAAAGAAGATTAATCACCATACCTGCTCTTTAATCATGAATTCACTGTCAGTATGATGTATGAGTAGTGTAATGGGATTAGGTAGGTTGCTATAGAGAGTTTCAATAAACCCACACATTAAGATATACTGTGCTATAAAAGTTAGAGAAACGCAGGGCAAAAAGTACAAGAAGAAATTAAAGGAAGGAGGAAACGCAGAGGGCTCTAAACACTGCAGACCTGTGCTGAGTGAAACTGACCTAAAGAGTACCATTAAGATCTCCTTCAGTGTGAAAACCGAGCAAACCTCAGATTTCAATTCAAGAGGCTCTCATGAGGTTCGAGAAGGTGAGATTCAATAGAGGGCATTTTATTTTGACTGTAAGAAAAGACTCAGCGTGCTGCTGTCAATCAATCCTGAGCTAAATTAACCTCTTCAGAATTTTCCCATTAACATGTTGCATGAATGCCCTGATCAGAACAGATGTAATAATGACACGGTGCACAACAGCCAAACGACTGAGGCAAGAACAAAGAGAGTCACATTTTACCGCTCGGCTGTGCTTTCAAGCTCTCACAGCTACATTTACGAAACAAGCGGAGACACTGATCCAGAAATGTAACCTGCTCATGCCAGAGTATGACAGCATTTTCCATGTTAGATACACTATGATCTCTGCATGCTCGTACTTTTTATCTTTAATCTAGAAAGACACAGAAGACAAAGAGAAGTGATAACGCAACACTATGAAGTAAAACAGACTGTGAATCAGGGGTGTGCCCAGAAGGGTGGCAAGAGGTGGCACTGCCCCTCTGCAGAATCTGGCTGGCCAATTCATATGCCACCCGAGCATCCTGACAAATAATTGGCTGTTGTCAGAGATGAAATTTATAGTAAAATTAACTATTTGGATTGTTTTGCAACAGGCTACAATTAACCTACATATGACAGTTCACAATATGTTCCCTTAAAGCTCCTGTGAGACTTTTGTAGCCTGTGATAAATCAAACTTAAATAATTAATCATGCTTTTATATGACCATCAAACATGAACTAGACCATCAGGGAAAAGTTTCAGTACTTTTTCATTGCTTTTTTTATGCGAGTTAGTTCTGTCGCGGGATAGGTGTAAAATGTACAGCGCCAAAATAAACTTTGTTTACAGTGTCCACAGCAAAGACAGTCATAGACAGCAAGATAGATACTTTTAGGCACTGCTTTGTTGTGTCTAAAGGGGGCGCTAAACACCATTCAAAGCCAAAGTTCCTCACAGTAGCTTTAAGTAGGCTTCTATGAATAGTAACGGTAGACAAACATCTTTGAGTGGAGTCATTAAAGAATTACCCTTAGGATTTGTTTGGTACATTTGTTTCTGCACATGTTGTGATACTTTTTAAAGTTGGAAATAATACACAAGAGTACATAATGGTCAGGATATTATAAATGTGACCAATAAAAGCAGATGTGATTGGTAGAGACACACAGAGTAGATTAATGTTGTTTACTTCTTTCTTTGAGTTCACACATTGTTCCATGACTGCATGAATTAATACCCCATTTGGGCCACCCCCGTCAAATGAGTCTTGAGACACCCCTGCTGTGTTATTATTTAAGTATGTAAGCTAAAATAAGCCTGACGGATGAATTTAAGATCATTCAGCTAAAATCTGTAATTACTAGTACAATAACTTGAACATCCCCAAACTGGTGCCAGACAGACTCTCATTAGAATACAAGTGTTTGGCAAGTTCTTTTCAGCGTTGGCTCTATCTCTCTCTATTTGTCTCTTCCTGAATAATGAAACTTATCATGGGAGTTCAGATCTAGACTTAACCAATTTTTCAAGCCACAAAGCCTGATATTTTTTAGTCAATGTGAAGCTGCTCTACATACCAGCCACTGTAAAATAAAGAAATAAATGAAACTGTTAACGTCTTTGTTGATGTGAATATCCAACTTCACTTATGTCTTATGCATTTCATAGCAAAAACTCAGACACAAAATTCAATCAATCAATCAATCAATAAATAAAAAGTATCAACAGGAAAATAAGGTGGTATTATGAAAGGCACGGATGTCTCCTTTCATTGCAAGGACAAATGATGCAAAACTCAGGATGCAGTTTGGGAGAAGTTTACTTGTAACTTACCCACAAAAACCCGAGACGACGTCAGCCAAACAGAAAAAAGTAGACCAAAGATTCAAAACTTTGTCACTCCGAGGACCAGCATTGAGTAAGTTTGTCTTTAATTTCACAGAAGCGTGAATGGTGAAAAATAAAATATGCCATGTTTGTTGGTGTTTTCTTGACATAAAATACACGAGCCGGCCCGTGAGAAGAAGCTCTGTCCCAGTTTTTTTTTCTATTTGCTGTGTAATTGTGGTGTGATTGTCTGGCAGCAGTAACTACAATAGTCAGTCGGTGGGTTGATGGAGATTCTTCTGTGTGGGAGGGGAATCTAGCTCTTGTAGTGTGCTCTGTAATAAACATGGTTCCCATTTGAGGGCTGTTACCCTGCTGTCTGAGGGGGTGAAGGTGTAGTTTGGCCCAGCTAATCATTGCATCTGTTTCTGCATCTCAAACAAAGTTAGCGTGCTACAATATCGGACAGTAGAAACCAACCAGAAAGTTCAGAAAATTGCCTGAATCCTCCTTTGGCCACGACTGCCGACACAAGCAAGAAAATGAACTAAATACTGGAGACTCTGGAGGAATAACAGGCGCTTAAAACGGAGGTAGACCACCCGAATAAGAGCTAAAAAGCCAGGTCAACAATGATGGGGGACGCTTCAGGATCTTGGTGACCCTGTAACCTTTCTGCTGGACAGGTAAACCGCTTTAACAAAGTAAGACAAGTGTCTGTAACAGAAGTATTTCTTGTCAAACGGACCTGCTGGAGCGTGTTGTAGCGCCATCGCTAAACTGTTGACCTCGGGTCCTGGACTATGTCACTTTATCCTAGTTGTAGAAGTCCTGCAAACATTATGTTTGCTGGTAGTATGTTGGCATCTACAGTAGCACCAATGCTTTTTACTTTCACGTTGACTGAGCCCCATTTGTAATTATCTTATCTATTATTTATCTGCATTATATCTGAATTTAATTGGAACGATAGGAGCGAGCAGGAGCGTCTGTTTGTGGGCGGGGCTTGCTGGAGCAGAGAGGGAGGGGAGAGGAGGAGCTGAGGGGAAAAATGGTTGGGAGGGGTAGAGTTTACATTCAAGATTTCCACCAAAAACTGGGACTTCCTCAGATCCTGACTACCCCATCTTTAATCACCTGTTTGTTCATTTTACTGACGGCCACATTTATTCATATCATGGTTTTTAATGTGGGTTAGATGTGCATAAAGTGAGCTCAGATCACAAACCCTGACTCCTGTAAATCATGTGAGGTTGCCCTTTGTCCATTATGAACCATTTAGTTGTCTTGGTTGCTGCCTTGTTCTCTTTTCCGTTGCCAAATATTTGGCCTGTATCACAAACAGTTTCAGGTTTAAAAGCCTCCATTGGCGTATGCTGATCTGACTGACCTGATCACAGCTGTTTATGTCTCAGTGCTGTTATTTCTGCGAATTTCTTTCCTCGTAATTCATAACAGGCAAGCTGTGGCAGGACTTTGTTCACCAAAGTGGAAAAGAAACCACACTGCAGCCTCCCTTAAATACTCCAAAGCAGCGGTCCAGAGATTTCTCCCTTGTTGAACTTTCCTTCTACTTTCTGATTCTGGCATTTCGCATCAAGTCATCTCATCATGTAGATCTGATGGTGCCTTTGGTGTCTGAGCTGGACTCCCAGCAGTGGTGAATGAATGGCATGAGATTGATAGACACTCTGGGTTCAACAAGCAAGAACAGGAAGGAGTGTTAATTTCCTTGGAGTTGCTCCAGTTATTGTTTGTTATGAACAAATCCTCTCCACAAACCATTCTCCACTGAATATCTTTATGCAAAACACATCTCTGAATCCTGATCAGCAGAGTGGAGTGGATATTGAAGAAGAAAAAGGAAATTGGGTTGGTACCCCTGGTCTCCATGCCTGTCTGTTACCAGCTTGTAACAAAAACAGCCCGTCTACTTTTTCCAGATACAGTGTTGGATATATTTTCTGTCAGATTTGCCAATCTAATGATTTGGTAAACGCTTGTTGGTGTTGCTAACATCTATCATCCAGTCTTTACCTGCAAGTCTAACTTTTAAAACTTCATTTCTCCCAGTCGTGGGTGGAAAACAGTCTTCTGACACTAAAAAAATTGCACATGTTGAACTATGATTGAGAAGTGAACAAATACTCCCCAAGGGTATTCTGTCAAAAAACATCATATTATTTCAAATTTCACGCAGCGCTGAAAGTTAATAGGAGCTGTCATTTAAGCTGTTGAAAGGGGAAAGACTCAATCTGTAGTAATCAGTAACCTGGCAATAAATTCACTCCAGTTCTGGAACAGTGTTAGAAATTTGAGCAGAATTGTTCTTTTACAATTTCAACAACAAAACACCCTGAAATACTGACCAATGGAGTACAGAGCTTTGTTTTGCTGTCTCTTAATGTAATATGTGGTGATTATAGCCATTCACCAGGAAAAATTGATGATCCCAGGAGCATCTCAAACAAACAGAGATTATGAAAACTTCTAATACATCCTGAAAGTAATTTAAAATAAGGAAATTTTGATACGCCTCAGACTCTAGTTTCAAATATTTCCCCCCTTGCTACATCATGCCAGCAAGTGGCAAGGCATGATTATAGCAGGAATCTAGTGGCGTCTCATTTCTTAGGGGCGTGTTGAGACAAAGAGGTAAGACGATGGAAAAGAGTGACATTTGGGATTAGCCCTCATTTAGGAGTTTGAATAAATTACTATAAAAAACATTAAAATACTGTGTTTCTCTAAGGCTGATTATTGACACTCAACTGGCGGTTCAAAAAACAATAAATACAATCCACTGGGAGGTCACTTCTGGAAAGGCTGGCTGTTCCCAGAATACGGCACTGAAACATGTTAATAGTAACTTGACTGAAAAAGGGAAGACTGGTAGGAAAAGGTGCACAAGCAACGGGGATGAATGAAGCCTTGGGATAAGTGTCATGAAAAGTTGGTTCAAGAACTTCGTAGAGCTTCAAGAGGACAGAGGGTGGTGTCAGTGCATCAACAGCCACCATGTATAGATGTCTCCAGGAGTCAGAGGCCACATCAGAAGCATCTTATCTTGGCTAATAAGAAGAAAAAAAGTACTACTCTGTTGCTCAGTGGTCCAAAGTCCTCCCTCCATATGAAAGTGTATTTTGCATCTCATTAGGAAATCAAGACCCTCGAGTCTGGACGAAGAGTAGCAGGGCCTATAATCCAAGGTGTTTGAAGTTCAGTGTGAAGTTCCAGCAGTCTGTGATGATCTGAGGTGCCATATCATATGCTGGCGCTGGTTCACTATGTTTCTTCGAGTAGAAACTCAACCCAGCCGTCTGCCAAGAGATGACAGGATGACATGGTTTGAAGGATTTTGCTCTAATGGTTGGTATAATGAATGAAGGTACCTTACATGAACCGGTTTGCTGTAATCTAACTCATTTACCGATGCCTACCCTTGTCCTTTTGGTGTTGATCGCTCACTCTTAACACACCTTACATCCTCGGAAAGACAATAATGAGAACCATCAAGTTTCTACTGACTGTCAAGAGGGGAAATCAGTCCGAAAACCAGCACTGATATCTCTCAGTTTTTCACCACCTCCAAGTAGTGATGAGAAGAACAGTTCTTTTGACTGTACTGAATCTTTAGAATCCGTTCATTAAAATGATTCATTCAAAAGATTCATTCACTGGATCAGTAAGCGCTTTGAAGCGCACCCGTCCTGCTGGTGCAGCACACGTGTGAGTGACAAAGCACTGGTCGGGTGTTCGTTCATTGGATCCTCTGGGTGACACATGTCGTTCATTCGCCAAGTCGTGAAAGAAGAATCACTCCCCTGCCCTGAAAAACTTGCCTCTCTGTGTGCCGCTGATGTTCGCATCAACACAGCAGTGAGTGAAACAACACAGCAAGCAGCACGCTTGCTAAACGAACGTGAGTCGTCGTTCTTTTATCTTGCAGAAAAGTGGAAAGATAAAAAATAAACATTGCAAACATCCTTCTTGCGGGAAAGTTTATAGGCTTATATTTGTGTAAAGACACTGTTTTATCTTAGCCTACGAACAAATCGGTGCTTGGCAGTTCGTGGACGACGCTATGCCCCTCCCTCTTCTGCCTGTCTCAGTTCGGAAGTTCCACACCCGACCGGCATGACACGCTCACGACACACTCACCAGAACTGAGAAAGGAACGAATCAGGTCTTGGAGTGATTCCATTCACGTCGTTCACTCAGCAGTTCCTGTCTCTTAGTATTTGTGGCATATTAAAAAAATCAGTCCATTATACTTCTGTTGATTTGACATGGATTCAGTCGTTGAGCATTTCCTCTGGTGAGATAATAGGAGGTCCACGGCACATGTAAAGGAGACACTAATACCTGCAGACTGTGAAAGTAGGGATGGCCAATTGTCAGTGCTTCAGGACGTATCTCATCCACAGGCAGAGTTTATAACCTCTGCCTTAATGATCCCGTTGGGGTCATTCAAATTAGAGACCCGTAGGAAAGTAAATGAGAATGAATCGAGATATAATCCCAAACACTGCAGACTTCATCAGCACGGCGCCTGCAATATATCTCTTTTAAAGGCTCTTTATGGGGAAAAGGAGGAAGCTATCCAATGACAAACCTATTATCTATCACTGTTCAAGGTTAAAGCAGGTAGATCCATAGAAATCAGAATTGGAAAAGAGGGCATTTCTACACGAGCTGGGTTTTTATCATATCTGAAACGGTTATAGATGATCAGTGTCATTATGAATGATGAGGTCCCACTCTCCTTATTCAAAATGCTGGTAAGAGGAGAGAATGACTTTCATTTCCTCTCCAGATAGCATCTCTCTGTAGCTGGCACATGTAGATGAGCTGGGAAGAGACTCTTAGGTAATAGGTGACCTGCAGACAAGTTCAACACGTCCCTCAACAGCCTTTTCAAAAAAGGATCCAAATAACTCACAAAAGGGTCAGGGTGTGTCCACAGTTCCTGCCTAGCATGACTTATACAGAAGTGGAGTGAATGTCTCCTCACAGGCTAGTCTATTAGCATTTATTCACTAGAATTTCTCAGGGAGGGAAACAGATAATACGACCCTGATCATTTACATCTGGAAGAGTCCTGCTTCTTCTACGTGGAGATTTTCCTGAACCACTTCCTGTCTGTTAAAGGAAATAAAAAAACACTTTTTGTAATTATAGTGTTTGTGTAAATCATAGACTAAGGTGACCAGACCATATTGGTCCCTGTATAGGATGACCTGCTAAAGCTGTCCCCACAAATGTCCCCGATTTAAGCATTTCATGAATGAGAACAAAAATGTTGTGTGTAGACTAGAACAACAGTTATTACAGTAGCTGAGTAGGTAGGAGGCACGAGAAAGCTTCCTACCTACTTCCTACCTAATGCCACCACCCCACCACATCCCACTCCGGATGGTGAAATATTTTTTTGTAGGATGGTAGGGAAAGGTCCCACCCTCCTTCGACTCTTATTGGCTAGAAGTGCTGGGCTCTGATTGGTTATTCCTTATGTCTGTGAAACGTCATCGTCTGTCAGGTTATGGTTAGGTTAAGGGTTAGAGTTAGGAGATTCAGAAGCGCGGTAATGTATCCCTCGGGTGAGCTACACAGTCTTCGTACACCCATAGTCTGTATCAAGTGTCAATCATAGAAAACATGAACCCCTTAATAACTTTAAAAATGGAGCTGTACAGAAAAACGAGGACTTGAGCACAAACTAGTCTGACAGTAACTACATGTCAACATCACAACCAGTGGGGAGAAACATTTATATTCTGTGTAATTCATTTCTAAAGTTTGTCCACAGCTTCATAGGGATTGCTGGAGGAGGCAGGATTTATGACCTGTACTGCAGCCTGTCACCAGAGGGTGCTGTTCTCACCGTGGCTTCACCCAGTGAGGAGGCAGACGGCGTACATTCTATATTCAGTCTATGGTGTAAATTCAATACTGTTGCAGAGCAGCATATTCCATCTTTCACTGTCAAAGCATCATTTCAGTCTCAACATATTTTGTGGTGAAGAACTTCGGTTATTTTGTGTTATTGTTGTGAATAAAATTCTTATTTGGTTTAGCAGTAAGATCGAACACTTGCGAGGAACTCTCCATATCACAGTGTCTCTCTGACCTCTGACACCTCTCCTCTCACCCCTCACAGTGTTTTTATTTGGCATTGAACATCCCTGGATTATAATTATCAGTCTTGCTGTTGTCTTGTTTGCTTTCGTAAGTCATACAGAGGCCTCGGTCTATTTCGTTTCCAGTCAAAACCTCCTGACAGGAACTCTGAGGAGCTGAAAACTAATAAAGCAATGTCTCATTTTTCACATTTGTAGTCAAGCTAAAGTTTTTTGTTTATTTGAGTAAAATTTTACTAAGGCTGTCTGTGACTTTGCATCCGGAATTTTGCATAAAGTGAACTCAAGGCATTTCAAACGCTGGCACAACTATTCCTGAATACAGTACATTGTGCTTGCAGAATGCATATTAAATAAGTTCCTTATTATATTGCAAGTTCGGAACAGATGCTGTATATTTCAGAATATTTCTCTGTTCAGTGCTTTCTGTATCCGTCTGTGGTTTTTTTAAATTCATTTTAAGCCGCGGCTGAATAAGCAATACAGACGAGGCTGAGATTTATGAATAGATCTGTCAACACAGATCAGTAAGTTCTACTCAACATGCTATGTTGCTATGTTATAGATTTGAACTGTTATTTATTTAGTATGCACATTTTATATACATATCAAGGGATAAGGAGCCATGCATGGGCAAAAGGGTGATTGTTGCATAGTCGCAAAAAGGAAGAAAAATAAAGAAAATATCAAACCAGACAGACACAAATTAAACGACACAGTAATATATGCTGTCTGACATGACGGGAACAGAGAACTTCAAAACATGAAAATCACATACAAACGCTCAAACATGCTCAATAAATTGCTTTTCCTTCTCAGGGTTGCGGGGAGAGCCAATCCCAGCTGTCCATCACAGGGCCGACCCTTCAGGACAAATCAACTATTCCAACTCCAAGGGTAATTCTGACCAGTAATTAATCCAACCCTGTATGCTTTTGAAGCCTGAGTAGCTGTAAAACCCCTGCAACCCCACATATTAAGTATCTAATTGGCCATAGGCCTCAAACCTAGAATATTCATGCTTAAACATCACTGTGTATTCACTTGACTAAGACCAGCAGTTCCTTACAAAATCTCTTAAGACTCTGATTTAGGAGCTTTGAAATTATTCTTCCCATTAACCCGTGTTTTTCAGTGCACTTGCTTTCTAACACCAATAGTCATCTCTGGCTCAGAGAGTTGGAGGCGAGGGAAACTTAGACTGACACCTAATTGGATGCCTTTTTCGAGTCAGCACAGAGGGAGAAAATTAAATCAAGACTAATGAGCTCTGAACACAAAAAAGGAAGATAAATGGTTTGATGGTGGCAAGACAGGCAAGGTTAGGAATCTACGAATAACGTTCTGCCTTCCTTATTTTCGCTTTTCGACAGAGCACCCACAATCGTACTGGAGGGCAGACTTCAATGTCATCAAGTTTTTTTTTCTCCTCACACTGCAATGAAGATAAAGTACGTTATGAGTCTAAGGAAAAATAACACTAATATTAGATTTAATTCAGTTATGAGGCGTTTACACATTCACTTAACAACGCATTCAACTCTGGTGAATATTTGGCATTTTTAACTGAGGAATCCTTTTAATATTTAATGCAATATGCAGCTTTTACCTTGTAATAAAAACACGTTGCATGTTTGTATTGCTTTATTTTGAAAAGGACTAAATACAGCGCATTCTTCCTCATATAAATTAGCTCTACCTGTCAATTCAGAACAGGAGCTTTCAGAGCTCTAACCTTCATGGTCTGGAATGAGCCATGCTTTTAGGCAGGTAAATGACAGCATAAATAAGATAAATATCACTTTATAGCTTTCTCTGCTGGGCCAGATTTTAGACTGGAGGGCAGTCAGTTTCTGCCAGAGTTACAAAAATATCTAAAAATGCTCCTGGTTCTTATAAAGTGGCAGCAAAACCCAAAAGTTAGCCCGTCAGGTGATTACTTCAATAGAAAAACTGTGATTTATAGAATTGGATCAGGTCAACTAAAGCTTCAACTTGGCCAGGAGGTGCAAGATTCAGTTCTTTAACATACATTTGCGATAAGAGCGCAGCATAAAGTAATGCACAGATGGAAAAACCAAATCAACATGGTTTATATGTTGCTTTTCAAAGATGCTTTCTAAGACAGAAGTGAAATGTGACCTCTCTTTCACCACTAAAGCCAGCATACACTGTGTACTGGAGCTGTAAGCCAATTATTTAGTCTCAAGTGGGGCACAATTTCAGCTCAATAATTGTTTGCTTCAATCAAAAGGCCGCTGCTGGAATTTCTTGCAAGTTGGAGTCAGGAACAGTTTTTGCACAGTGAGAGAAACCACAAGCTAGTTCCCCAACTTCAGGGCTCTTTTTCTCCTCTCTGTTTCCGCTCAAGCAAAAAAAGCCCTTATTTACTTATTTATTTATTTTACCTTTGTTTTTCCAATGAGTCCCATTGAGACTGAAGACTCCATTTGCAGGAGTGACCGAGCCCAAAATTAGCAGCCATTCAGACCTGTAAACACACAAAAAGGACAATCAAGAGGAAATCACAAAAAATAATTTGTGGCACAGTAAAGATCTACAAATTAGAGGCTCACAAATGGTGCTGAATAAAGCTGATGTAGAGAAGAACACAGAGGTAAGCTGGAGGTTTCGCTGTTATGGATAAAAATTAATCAATGCTCTTGACTATGAATCCAAATGGTGCCCAACCCACCAAATCATGCAGAATGTAATAGGCGATAATGTTTGAAGCACGTCATGTGACATAGACAATTGAAAATTTCATAATCGACACACACATTGATCAGTTATAACATTATGACTAATTATGTCATCTAATTTAATCAAACACAAAAGCTTGAACACAACTGTAACAGCTATGCCTTTCAGTTTTAACTAAACCAATAAGAGCTTTTCCAGCACATTAGGAAGTGGCGTTGGTCCACATTTCAGTGTTCCCAGTGATCTGAGAGTGACCTCTTAAAGACCCACTCTGATGAAAATCATGTTTTTCTTGTTGTCTACATGTTCATGTGACATTTTTCTGATGCTACAGGACATATCATGAGAAAAATAAGTGTGAAATTGCATTTCTGAGTATTTCTGCATTCAAATCTCTGTGAATCTCTGGCAGACCCAAACAGCAGGTTCAGATACAGAGAGATTTCCTACATCACAAATCCAAGCTCCACCCCCAGAGCAATGCAGGCCAGACTCTGAGGAACAGAGAGGACAATTGTGAAACAAGCGTGTGTGTTAGCAGATTGCAATATTTATAAGAAAGCTAATAATGATATTAACTTTCATCATGTCCTTGAGGACATTAGTGTCCAAAAGCTGAATAGCTCCTATGTTACCTGTTTCTTCCACTACACCAGCAATGTTAGGCGACTAGCTAGCGTGTAGAGGAGTGTGCAGAGCATCGCTGTCTCCACCCACGACTCTGAGGTGAATTGCTAATGAGCTACTGGAGCTTTACAGAAGAAAAGTCCTTGAAAATGGCACAGGTAATGGGATTTTGGCTAAAAACTTCATGATCACAATTTAAAGACCACTGAGAACACTTTAAGTTGTAAAAAAATAAATGATCTGATTGGGATTTTAATGAGCTGATGACGCCAGGGTCAGCTATCTTAGATTTCATGATGTTGTGATGAAGAGTGGAGCCTTTGACCGGTTATTTGCTAACTTTATTCACACATTTGCCACCATTACATACACAATGTAAGGGATTTTCTACATGAAGAACAGCTGAACTGAGCGAATGTCTGCTCCACACGTTGAATCATTAGCCTAATATAGGCCTACTGTGAAACATAATATCTGTGTGATTTATTTCTCACATCTTCAGTTTTCTTGGAAATAAAGGTTTTAAAATATATGACTCAGAGCTGCTAAAGACAAGATTGATGAAACACGCTGGTAAAACAACTTTTATGAATCTTTTATTCGAATACTAATGACTGCAAACACATTCAGCGTATAGACGTTCGAGATGATTGAGGGCAAGTCAGATGTTTTTCACTGTTGTTTCAACGTGTCTCGTTGGTTCTGACAACGGATGAATCATACACTGAACAATGGGCTGTGTTACATGTCTGTGAATAGTAATTGTCAATTACACCAATCAAAATCCAATTGTCCAAGCAGAAAACTTTGTGTTATTAAATTTACATCCAATGTTCTCACCACAGTTTACAGGATTATTAGATTACATTGTCTTCAGACGCTGCACTTCCTGTGTACAGCAGGAAATGACAATTACATAATTGAGACAGTTTCTTTAATGAGATAAAGTGGAAACGCTTAACAATTTAAGTTATGGCGTAGCCTATCCTGTCCAACTGGTGAGTGTTTTTACGGAGGTCAGCTTGGGCAGCTTCGTACACAGTTCTCAGAGATGCACGGCCACGCTCCTGTCCCTACAAAAATACTCCTTTTTTTCCCAAGTTGGGTCAAACTTGCAGAGAGGAATGACTTTGATGTCAGCGGCAATGACAAAAACTTGAATGAAATGATACCCAACAAACATTTTTATTTATACACAAGACATTCAGCAGTCAGACACTGACAGGACGCCGGGGCCAGCGGGCTGCGGCCTAATCAGCCAAGCAGAAAAGTCATTCTTCTCCATTGCCTGCAGATTAAGCTTCCACCCAGGAGTCATGCTTTAAGATTTACCCGACTGCACGGAGAGTGTGATGAGGGTTTATACCTCGCGACGGCACATCATAACCCTAAATCTATCAAACGTGAAGCCCTCAAGTGGGCACTACAGACCGCCATGGGTCTACTCTAAGGAAGCACCATGTTTAAACGCAAAACCTGTTTTCTTTTTTAAATGAGCCTCCTACATTCAGACTATTTGTGTTGCAACGAGGTAGAGTGGGGCATAATTGCCAACCAGGGATGTTTAAAGTAATCCCAGAGGGTAAACCACAAATTGGATGATTGGATGGAGGAGTGGGGGAAAAAAACATACAAAAATAATCAAACAAGCTTCCTAAACTGCACATGTTTGGTACGTATTAGCTGACTCAAGACTAAACTTTCAGCGGGGATAATAACATTTCTTTTTGCCTGTCAAATCAGCGTCATTGGCCAATGAGACCAAAGGGTCTAAAAACATTTAGTTGGACATACGCTGATAGTGCGAGTACGTAGGATTCAGCAGATATTATAAGTCAGTGGAAAGCTCCCTAGATAGAAACTTTAACATCTCTGATAATGTGTCTTTGTAAAACCTTAATTGAATGTAATAAACAGATGGTGCTTGCTTGAGTGTCAGCTAAATCTAGCGTATAATCATCACCAGCCTATTAGCGAGCTACAAAAACAGACCAGCTCAATTAGGCTGATCGCAATACAAGCCAAAGACACCGAAACTCGCACGTCTCCTTTCCAACTCACCACTTCCACCATGATGTGCTGTTTTCAGTTGGGTTAAATTCGTGATACTGGACTGCACCTCCAAATACAAATGGGAAAAGTCCTTTAGGGGGGCTCCCAAGAGGATATTTACTTTTCTCAAAGCCGTCAGAAATGTCTAATATGAAAATGAGTGTATTTTCTTTTTTAAGGTCTTTCTGAGGGATTGAAATGTCCATGTTGTCCACTTCTCATAACATAAGGACATGGCCTTAGTCAACTATTCTTGCTACGCCACTTTAGCGGCCATTTCTCCTCTTCCTCCCACCGCCACCACCTCGACTGTCGTAATTGGCCACCATGTAGTCGTCTTATCTGCTGGTCAAGTTGCAGCTGTGTGATTGTATAATCCTTCAGAGTGTCATAGCAGACAGAGAAATCATATAGTCTGACCTTGCAAGATATCTACCCCAAGGGACAGATGAGCTTCTCACACCTGGTTGTAATTAGGACCAATGAGACACACACAGCTTAACTCAGCACTGAGATGATCAAACTCACTGAGAGGCAAGAGTGATTGCCCTTCACAGTTTGGCCATCAAAACATAAATTATTAATCATCAATAGAAACGGATTGGCAAGAATATCCCCCCCAAGAAAAACAGCATTGGTTATTGTGGCAAACACCCAAAAACAGCACAAGCTAACACCCCCTAGTGTCTATCGGATTTATGAGTCCTGTCTTTTCTAAATGTTGAATGATTGGTTACAGAAATAGACCCCTGACAGCATGTTAAATTTACTAATTTATTAGCATCACTAGTTGAATACTGATTTCCAGTAATCCATGAAATGTGTTCCACTCCTCGGTGGTTACACCCTCAGGTTTCCTGGGTTACAGGAGTTAGGAAGTGGAGAGCACCTTAACTATTGCTATGATTTTAGTCAGTGCAAATCATGAGTTCAGTCGATGAAATTAAGTCTGATTTATGCCGGGCTTACACCAAACGATTTTCACAGTCCCACACTAAAGACTGAAAGTCTTCAGTAAATGTAGGAGTGTTACTGGAGTCACAGCGAGCTCTGGTCATCTGGATCGTTAAGTTGAAGGTGGTAATCACAGATTGTATATAGAATGGACAGTGTCTCCCTCCACGAGAACAGCACCCTCTGGTGACGGGCTGCAGTATAGGTCATAAATCCCGCCTCTTCCAACAATCCCCATGGAGCTGTGGAGGTAGTAATTCCCAGTGACTTTACTGCCAAATGCGCACAATGCTACTGCACAAGTGGCCGGGTTTGTACAACGCTACTGCGCAATGTTGGTTTCAGGAAATGGCGAGAAAATGCGGAATTACCAAGAGCTTTTCGGCTTCAAATCTGTATACTGTCGGAAGGCGGAACCAAGTTGTCCATAGTTCATTCAGTTTATGGTGGCAATCTGCTCTGTTTTATATCAGTCTTTTCCTAGTCTTGGGTTTGCGATAATATCGTAAGTCATAGTGATGTAACATGACCAACAACCAATAGATGAGCTTCGACAAAAGTTTAAAGGGAAACCTGATGGTCAAAACAAGAACAAAAAGGTATAAAGAATTACTGGCAATAAAACATCGACAGTGGACAGTCCAGGAAGAGGAGCGGGTGGTGGAGCTGTGGGCAGGTCAGCCTTGCCTATTCGACTTCAACTGCAGGGTTTCCCCCACATGTAATGGCGCACCGATACAGCTAAATAAAAGCCGCCACACCTCCCCAAAAAAAAAATATATATATATATATAAACATATATATTACGCACTACCTTAGACTCAGTCTGAGACTAAAAACCCTATTTAACTCTTGTCTTTAGATTTGAGCCAGTCTGAGCTGATAGTTTCCCAAAAGTCTTTTCCAAATCTTCTCCAAGTCCTCTGGTGGATAGCTGGCCTTAGTCAGTGAAGAAGTAGACAGTGAAGAAGTAGACAGTGATCACATTGACTATCCCCTGACTCCCCTTGAAGTCTTAATCATTAAACTGACATTATTTCCTCCCTCACATTAAAGATTCCCCCCATTATCTCAGCGAGACCTCATCAGGGAGTAAACACAACAACTCTTGTTTATATTACCTTCAGACTCATGGTAGAAACTTATTAAAAAATAAAGTCATGCTTCTTGAAGCACTTTCAAATTTAATATTTTGTCAAACTTGGTGTTTATTCTGAATTATTTTTCCAAACAGAAAAAAAGAAGCTGTTTCCAACCTGTATGCTTTTCTAATGAACTGAATTTTTTCACACACATGCAGAGAGAACGGGAAGTTGCTTCCGTGGAAAGCGCCGATGGCTTCGGTTTTGTTGGCAGCGTGACAGCCCTTTAGAACAGCTTGATTTTTGGCCAGTATGTTCACAGATCAGACCATTCAGACCCCAGGTGTGGCCAGAGCATCTCCCCTCTTTTGATTTTCCAGTGAGCCATGTGGATCTCAGCCAAAAAACTGTATCAGCTATGTCACAAATATGAAACATGTTACTATGTGTGCACTTCCGGAAAAGCCTGATCCCTCAAATAATTGTGTACCATACTTTTAATGAACTCAGCTTGGTGAAGCCACAGCTTTGTAGCTATTTTTCTGAACCAAGACAAAATGGTGTAACAGCCCTTTAGTTACCATGTCCAGTAGGGATGCACCAATCCGATATTTGAATTGGATATCTGCTCCGATATGGACAAATGAACTGGATCATATATCGGATAAATGATTCTGATCAAGTGTTCCGATCCAGTCTTTTTTTCCTGTTAGTTAAATTTTCTTTTAATACATGAAAGTCTTACTTCTTTTTGCTGTGTGCTAATGTGCAATTTGTTATTTGTTGATGAATGATATTAAGTAAATTTATAGCTGTGTTAATTTGTTACCTTTTTCAAAGCCTGATGCCTTCACTCACAGGGCAAGGTATACAGTTAATTCATTCAACAGTAATATTTGGAGTCGTAAACAAATGCCATGTGTGAAAAAAAACTTCTCATTGGTCAGCGTAATGACAGTGCACTGTCGACCTTATGTTTTATGTTTGTTATGCATCTTTAGAAGTGCACCCCTAAATTTTCTGCTTGTGTTCCTAAAATTTGTAGTTCATTGTTACTGTGCTCTTGGCAAAACAAGTTAGTCTGGCCCTGTATGTGCGAAAAGTAACACATAGTTTATAAACCTTAGTTTGACTAGATTATTTTGGGATGCACCACAAGTAAATTCTCAACCTTGGAGAAACACTGGTGTTGGTGTTATTTTGCCATTGAAATCCTTCAGGCAGTAACATACCAGTGATATGAGTAACTATGGGTACCAGTGGGAAAAAAAGGCCAATTGTCATGGTGTTCCAGAGCTGTTAAAGTGCTGGACCTACAAGACAGTCTCTTTAACAAGCAGGATGGTAGAACAGCTGAAACATGATGATGGTCCTGATGGGGATGGAGAAAAAATTTAATGACATCTGTATGTTAACTGGACAAGCAGGGGGAAAGAAGTGGATCCAATCAACACTCGCCAACAAAAGAAACAAAACAGAAAATACACCATGGTCAGGTAACATACTGCACCTTATCTTAGAGAATCATGCAGCCACTTCCACACATGGGCCCATGAGGAGTCAAGGACACAGACTATAATGGGTTCTTGATGCAATCCTGTGATGGTTGACTTTGTAAAGCCAAGCTTATTAAGAAGTGGTAAATTGGTACACTGACATTTTCACTCTGCAGAAGGCAAGAGTAACCCAACCAACCACTCCAGTTATTCTGAAGAAGTGTGATATTGGCTCGTACTAAAAGATCTACAAGAAGAAATAACCCCTATTTACTAATTTGCACAACAAAGAACCTCTGCATCGTGCTGCCATCCAACTTTCCATCAGGTTATATAAATTGATAAACAGCAGCTTTGTTGTGTTGTACAAAGAAATAACAAGGCCTTTACTAAAAGACTCCACATTAGAGGGATGGAAACAAGTTGACTCCATCACACACAGACACAGATATGTAAGTACAGTGGCTTTGTACTCTACGGCAAAAAACAGACATTTGAGCATCCTGTAGTGTGTCCTCAATAATATGTTTGGGCACTTCACTGCAGGAAAACAAACCAGACAGAGTGGCATCAAACACATATCCTCAGCTTTATTTTTCAAGGACTCAAAAATATGTTTGTCCAAACTAAGTGTAAAGGACCTAAAAAGGCATGTTACTGTGTTTTAAAACAGAGACAGATACTGCCAGCTAACATACACTCACCGGCCACTTTATTAGGTACACCATGCTAGTAACGGGTTGGACCCCCTTTTGCCTTCAGAACTGCCTCAATTCTTCGTGGCATAGATTCAACAAGGTGCTGGAAGCATTCCTCAGAGAGCTTGCTCCATATTGACATGATGGCATCACACAGTTGCCGCAGATTTGTCGGCTGCACATCCATGATGCGAATCTCCCGTTCCACCACATCCCAAAGATGCTCTATTGGATTGAGATCTGGTGACTGTGGAGGCCATTTGAGTACAGTGAACTCATTGTCAGGTTCAAGAAACCAGTCTGAGATGATTCCAGCTTTATGACATGGCGCATTATCCTGCTGAAAGTAGCCATCAGAAGTTGGGTACATTGTGGTCATAAAGGGATGGACATGGTCAGCAACAATACTCAGGTAGGCTGTGGCGTTGCAACGATGCTCAATTGGTACCAAGGGGCCCAAAGAGTGCCAAGAAAATATTCCCCACACCATGACACCACCACCACCAGCCTGAACCGTTGATACAAGGCAGGATGGATCCATGCTTTCATGTTGTTGACGCCAAATTCTGACCCTACCATCCGAATGTCGCAGCAGAAATCGAGACTCATCAGACCAGGCAACGTTTTTCCAATCTTCTATTGTCCAATTTCGATGAGCTTGTGCAAATTGTAGCCTCAGTTTCCTGTTCTTAGCTGAAAGGAGTGGCACCAGGCGTGGTCTTCTGCTGCTGTAGCCCATCTGCCTCAAAGTTCGACGTACTGTGCGTTCAGAGATGCTCTTCTGCCTACCTTGGTTGTAACGGGTGGTTATTTGAGTCACTGTTGCCTTTCTATCAGCTCGAACCAGTCTGGCCATTCTCCTCTGACCTCTGGCATCAACAAGGCATTTCCGCCCACAGAACTGCCGCTCACTGGATATTTTTTCTTTTTCGGACCATTCTCTGTAAACCCTAGAGATGGTTGTGCGTGAAAATCCCAGTAGATCAGCAGTTTCTGAAATACTCAGACCAGCCCTTCTGGCACCAACAACCATGCCACGTTCAAAGTCACTCAAATCACCTTTCTTCCCCATACTGATGCTCGGTTTGAACTGCAGGAGATTGTCTTGACCATGTCTACATGCCTAAATGCACTAAGTTGCCGCCATGTGATTGGCTGATTAGAAATTAAGTGTTAACAAGCAGTTGGACAGGTGTACCTAATAAAGTGGCCGGTGAGTGTATTTCACCACTGCTCATTCCTCTAAAAAAAAACAGATGTGTGTTAAGGTCGTTACACACCGGGGCGAATTTGCAAAGCGAATAATTTGCTTTTTTTTTTAAAAACCTCATAAAGTCAATGCAAGTTCCCACACTGGCAATGAACTACCACAGAGTGAAAAAGCGACTGTAATTTTAGCGAACTGTGTAACTGTAGCGAATTTTGCGAACTGTTACGTAAATCTATATAATATATAAATCTTACATCAGACATGTGGCGAGCTGTTGCTCTAGAAAATCTGTAATTTGTCCTCTCCTTCTGCAAACGTGGAGTCAGCTGTTGGAGTGGTCCTTGAAATTGTCAGAGGAACATTCTGAAGTATTGTCGGAATTTCTTGGGATACAATTAAAGCTCCTGGATCGCTGCGTCGAGCTCCCCCGTCTCCTGTTGCAAGGTCAGTATTGGATGTACCCAGACATTTCAGTTCTTCTTTTTGTTATTTAATGGGAATACAACCATGACCAGGTCATCATCATTTAAGGATGTAGTCGCCATTGTTTCTCCTTCACTCTCCTCCTCTGTTCTCCCATGGCGTGTTTTATGCGAATATGCTAATTTAATTTGCGGCGCACCAGAGGTGTATCGGAAAAGGCGTAAGCTGAATACTTCATATTTTTGCGTCGCTTTGCTAATTCACTGGTAAACACAACACACGGTGTGTAATGACCTTTAATTAGCGGGTTCATGGTTTGATCCCAAGGTCCTGCAGTACCGGTTTAAGGTGGAATGACATTTCCTGTATGATTACAGACAACATCACGGCACTACTTAGTAGCAGCGCATGCCCCCCATAAAAACAGTTGTTCAGCGCAACATGCTTACTCGTGCTTCCTACCTACTTGGGTACTGTAATAACCGTTGTTCCAGTCTACATGCACATATATTATTTTTCTCATTCATGAAATGCTAAAATCTGGGGACAGTTTTAGCCGGGAACAGGTCATCCAAATCGAGGACTGTCTCTGGAAATCAGAGATGTCTGGTCACCTTAATTTACTCTCAATACAACAGCCCGCAGTATGAGTATTTGTATTAAGGGTAGACTGATTAGACCGTATGTCTGTACCATCCACAACTACTTATAACCTGCTCTGAAAAGCTGATATCTGGATCAAGTTGAACTGATTAGCATTTTTTTTTCCTTTATGGCATTGGTGTAAAAATGTTTGTTAATGGGTGAGTGTGTCATGTTTTGTTTTATTTCATTGAGTGGTATTAAAAATAAACATCTCAGTACAGTCCATTAACATGTGTGACAGATGTACAGCTTGCAGTGATGAGGTTTGGAGGGTTTGGTAGTTGGCACACCAAGGCCAAGATTTTAGATCCCTTCAGGGATTCATATACTGAAGGTCTGCTGTCATAATAATAATCCATTTGTATATTAAATGGTCAAAAATTGTGATCCATCAGACTTTTAGAGGTCGGTTTTACAAGTGCAGAGCACATGTGCCGTATAAAATACAAATCAACGAACAACGCCAACGAAAAAAGACCAAAACAGCAGAAATTTATGAGCCTGGTCAAGCTGTTTTGGTGAAATTTGATAGAGTGAAAAATAATTTCTAAGGCCCACATATTTCTTCAAAGACAGTAACTGCTCTTAGCATCTGTTGCTACATTGTGCCAGCTAAAAATGTGTACAGTCAGATGAATTTATCATTTGTTAATTGGCTGGGACAACCAGAACATGCAAATGCTGTTGTATTGTTTGTCAGAACTGATGGAAAATCCTTGAGAGCCTGTTAGAGGCGAGTGAAACCACGCAGCGAAATTCATCACGGCTTATCTGTCCTTAGCCATGTTCCTCAGCAGTTCAACACAGACACCCCTGTCCCTGATTACTTCACCTTAGTTTGCGGTTAGTTATCCTTGGCGTGTCAATATAAGGTACAGTAATTGGATAAAGTGGATTGAAATTAATGTAGTTCAACAAACAATCTGCAGGCATGCAGGTGGCTTCCTCCAGGATTAATAGTGTTATTATAGTCGGGACGTGGCACAATCAACAACAGCCAAATAACTCCGTTTGACTCAGCCTGCAGTATCACAGCCGATATCCACAGCATCACAGGCAAGTGGGAATATACAAATAAATGTATTTTTCTCCCTTAATATCATGTGTTGTGTGCGACTGGAGGCGTCATGCACAGTTGTCCCAGAGGGATATATAGAGCTATTTTGAATAAAAGCTTTTTTATCTTAAGTGGATCCTCTTGTGCTGGAGTGGAGCGATGGAAAAACGCTAGAATAAACCTTTTAATGTGATTGAACAGAAGAATTCTGGAGATCGTTTCTTTTCTTTTTCGCTGAGGAGGTGCCACACCCTCTGATAGGTGCAGCTCGATTATTTTATGTTCAGCTTTTATCAAGTCTATAATGCTGTTGTAGTCGTAGTAGCTTAGGTCAGCAGAGCTCATTCAGCTGCCAGACTTCAGACAAGCTTTTTGGAAACAGAAATACTCTCTAACTCCCAAAATGCTGAAAACACTATATTTTACAGTGTGTTTTATTGCATATTGGGAGAGTGAAAGCATGATTGTGCCACGTCAGCCCATTGTTGATAAAAGGCAGATGGCATCGCCTGTAGAGGGGATGATAAAGGCTGAAATGCTGAAAGCCAGCAGTTAGTGAAATTGGTCCAGGTGAGAAACTGAAACACAGAATCTGCTCTAATAAGTAAATTTGTGTTGAATTTTTCAGAAACTGCACAGGAGGATATTACTTAAGAGTCAATATCCTAAAATATCAACTTGATTTTGAACTACACAATCTGGACAATAACATCTGAGTTTTTTCTTATATAACTTTGGACTTTGAAGTTATATAAGAACTCTGGAGTCTTACCAGGACAAAGATAGACATTAAACCACCAAAACAAGACTGTATCTAAGAGCAACCACTGCATTTCCACTGTTAAAACTGCAGCTAAATAATCCAAACTCCAAAACTAAGTAACAAAACAACAACTCCTAATTTCTACATTTGTCTCTGACAAACTCAAATCTCCACATGGACATAAGCAGTGGTTGGATTAGAGTTATTCTTGCCTCCTGTCTGAGTTTGAAGCAGACACACAGTTGCGAAAAAGTTTAATGACTCTTCTTGGAGGTTTTGTTTCATTTCCTCTCACTTTTCCTCCAGCTGCATTGCTTATCTGGTGTATACAGGGCTGTATTTTTCTACAAAACTGTCAGTCATGGAATTATACCTCATTTTTTTTATATCATTAAATAACAAATTTAAACTTTTGGAGGGGAGAAATAAACACTTAAACTTAAATTATTCTTATTATCTTATCTTATTATTATATACTCCTGAAAACTGGCACTTCCTCAGATCCTGCCTACCCCACCTTTAACACCCATGTTGAAACCGAGTTAAACATTTTTACAACCTGGTACACAGACAGGTTTGGTCTCAGCAGCTTGTTTCTTCGTTCCTGCACAGTGTAGAGTAAGTGATTCTTTTGTAACTCAGCTCAGCTGTGAGGAAAGTAAGTTATGAATACATTTGCATAATAAAGAGCATGGCTGAGTTGACAGTCGGGTGAGCGCTGTGATGTTTGCCATATGGCTTATGGTTCGCCTCAGCTCCACCTGCATGTCAGTTCAACCTGAAGTTAGGATGAGTCAGCATTTTCAATATGTTAGCCACCACAGTCCATGTTTTACACTGTCTGTGTTTGCACCCTGTACTGTAGTAACTGAGAACGTTTACACACTGTAATCGTGAATCAGTGTTACAAGTGATCAAGACACTAACATGCTGGTACGTTTACACCAGTGTTAGACGATCAGCATTTGGGACAGCGTTATGTAAAATCAGAAGTTCCCTGTCTTGCAAGATTCCCAAACTAATGAGCCATGGCTGCTCTCCTCTCTCTGAACATCTTTGTGCAAACATCAGCCACAGCCACGGGTCCCTCCACAGCTGGAAAGGAGGGGAACATTATAATTTGCCATTTAAATACAGTGGGGAGAGGGAGGAAGTCCTAATTGCTTTGTGAGATTACCCCTCTGAAGCAGATCGGGAGAAGACAGATCACTGGGCTGATAGGGTCCAAAGGTGTAATGACAGGTGCTGTTGACTGAGCTAGGCAAGTCCCCTATCCCGTTCACATTATCAGCCCATCAAGATAGGAAAGCAATTTCCCAGCCTTTCATTTCATAAGCTATGCATATCAATGCTCCATTAATCAAAAGATAAAGTTCCTGAAAACCATCTCTGAAACACATCCGTCTCCTGTCCTTTCAGGTACTGTACACTCTCTGGATTATCTTAAGGAACTCCCCTTTATTGGCCTAAACTGGTGATGCATATGGAACGTACTTCACCTTAATTGATTTAGTCAAAATGTCTTTTTTTCTTTTGTTTCTCCTGCAGAGCTGACCCTGCAAATTCAGATCAAGACGGTGCGATGACATTTTAACATCTTTCACTGAGTTTAATCTGCATATGGGAATGTTTTGTGGGGGGAAAAAAGTCGCTCATTGATTATTCTGCAATCATCAATTCAGTGTGACTGATCAATAGAGAGTGAACAGTGAGAAAGCACGGAGATGAAGACTGACAGATTCGCCACATTATGAAAAATCCTCACATTCTTCATTCTTCACTGACTGGAGGAAAAAATGTCGGAGGCGGGAAGAAAAGTGCTTTGGTTGGGAAGAAAAGATGGAATAGTGTCCCTCATCTATTTCACGGCTGGATAATATGACAGGTAACTAGTGAATGGTATGATTGATTGCCACTTTGTTAAATAAAGCAATTAAGTAGGGGAGTTGAGGAGTTGTTGCCGTGGAACACAGGCTGGCTTAAGAAACAGCAACCACTGGAAAATCCTGAAATAGGTGCTAATTAAAATGGATGATGGGAGAAAGTGTCGCAAAGATTTTGACATCATGTATATAAACATTAAGAAAGTATCCACGAACTTTTAAAAAAAAGCTTTCAAAGATGCTGATTGGTCATTCCTTTTTTTCCCTGACTCTGTTGAAAACTTGATTCTGATTGGTCAGAACTCTCAGCAGCAAAAGTGACGACATGAACGCATATTTCATCATTACCTGTTGACGCTGTGGCAAAAATGTTTGCCAAAAAATTCCTGCAGTATTTTTTTTCATCTTATCTTGTGTTACCATCACTGGAAATGTTCAAATAAAAGCCGGCTTTAGATAAAATCACTTTTTTATCAACTTTTTAAATATTTGGGGTTGGTAGTAGGGTACTGAGCATAGTTCCACTATAGATTTATGTTTAAAATGTGTGTAGAAAAGATAACATAGATCATGCCCCTGCCCTAGAAAGAGAACGGGACAAACTTACAAGTTTTTTGGCCGAAACAGAACCAGCTAAGTTTAATTAGATCAAATTTGGTTTAAAACTTGTAGCATCAAAAATAAATAAATAATTTCAAAAAATCCTTGTGGGTCACTTCAAATAGCTAATTCATGCTGTTGTTTTCTTTTATTTATTTAATTTAATTCAATTTAATTATATTTTTGTTTTTATTTGGGCTTTTTATGTCTGTATTGAGAGATTAAAATACTTTATTTAGGGGCCGTCCTGTTTTTTCAATCATTTTGACTCTTGTGAAAGGACCTAAAACTGTTTTCTTAAAGCTTCTGTGAGGAACTTTCTGTTCCTTCTGTGGACATTGGCCCTAAATGTGAAAATCTTACCCTGCCGCCTGTAGCAGTCAAAAGTTTCTCTTACTTCAAATCTCTGCTGTGGAAAAAGTAAAACGGCTCCAGCATACAGTCCATCATCTGGTCTGACAGCTACCCCCTCACTGTAGTTAGAGGCATTAAAAATGTCACTGTTCTGTCATGGGTGGTCTTATCTGCCTCTCTCGGTCACAGAGACATCACTGTTGGAATCAGTCAATTTCATGATCATCCAAAAACTCCCTACAGTGTCTTTAATTTGATAAAATATCAGTGTTAGAATAAATATCTACACATTAAGGAAGACTTGGGGTAAAAAATATATATAAAAAAGATAATTTAAAGTATTTTACAGTAAAATAGAAGACGCTGCAGCAAATTTTTACATGTAAAACCAAAAGAAATTATTAAATCAAGAGGAAAAGACTGACAATAGCTGCTTTATCCAAAACAAACCAAAAACTCCTTACTGTAGCTTTAAATCACCGCACCTTCAGTCGGGACTTTTTGACCAAGCTGACAAGAGTTAGATTTGAAGGTGAATCACCTCTTACAACCTCTTATCAGCACTGTTGATAAGTTTCCATCAAATCTGGTCTGTGGACAGTTTGACCTCTGAGAAAGACTGTTCTGTTTCTTCTCCTGGTTTCATCATTTCTCAGTCCTTTGTGGGTAAACGGCAAAACCAAAAGATGAAAAAATAAATAAAACAACCTTGTGGCAGAAAATTACAGATGAAACTAGTTTCAGGAAGTATGTGGTGAGCATGTAACACTGAAGATATTTTGTAGAATTCAGTTTTCAGATTCTTCCTGTGCCTCTGAAAAATAACAGAGCGGTGTTTTAATGTTTTCTTGTGTAAGAAAAGAAGAAAGAAGAGGTTGCAGAGGCCGCATCAGTGAAGGTTAGCCGCTGAAAGGAGGGATGCTTGATGACAAAAAACATAAACAGATTACTAAATCAGGAACTTACAATGGAGTATTAGGGCCACTAAAGAAAAAAACAAGTTAAGACTACTAATGAGAATAAAGTTTAGGAAAATAATTTCAAGAATAAAGTGGTAAAGTAAATGAAGTCATAAAACTGCTTTTGCGGAGGAGGAAATGTCTGACCTGGTCAACTGCAGAGTTATCTGTGGGTGCATCAGTGGACCATTCAGAGAGATTTTGTTGTTTCTCGAGAAACAAACCAACTGATCAACATTTGTGATTTAGAGAGAGTCGAGCTCCGACAAGCACCACATCTGTCTCTGATGCCGGCACAACACCGGCAGTAACCTACACCTGCAGAGGCACCAACACCTTATGACGTATGTCCATGTAGATTCTCATTCATCCAGGTCATGGTTTTCTTTAAGACTCCAAAAACAGGCAACTGGGCTGTGTAGAGCTTAGAATCTACTTTTCTCAACTCTACACAGCCCAGTTGCCTGTTTTTGGAGTCTTTAAGAAAACCTTATGGCGTATAGATTCATATGATAAACTAAAGCCATATGTTATTGCTATAAACAGCTGCATTTCCAGACATTTCCCCCTCCTCAAAAACAGCGATTCCCTACAAGTCCACCTGGTTCTTTCTGCGGAAAAGATGCATTTCTTGCATATGTCCTGATACTTCTGACAATGTGATGCTGAAACGCCAAAGGAATTAGTTTCTCCTTGACTGTAAAACTTATCTACTTAAGTTCAATTCATTTAAATGCTCCACAGCGCTCATTTAAACAGCTAACAAAATGTTAGATTATTAGCTACAACTTTTTTTTGTAAGAAATGACTTTATTAAGACTTTATTCACGTGAATAATGATTTTATTATGACTTTATTCTTGTAATAATTTTATAACAACTTTATTCTCATAAGTAATAATTTTATTGCGACTATTCTCGTTAGTAACTATTTTATTACGACTTTATCCTTGTAAGAAATTATATTTTTACGAGTTTATTGTAATAAATAATGACTATGACTTTATTCATGTAAAAAATTATTTTATTCCGACTTTATTCTTGTAAGAAATTCTTGTATTACGATTTTATTCTCGTTAGCGATGACTTTAATCTCGAAGAATTTTTTTTTCTTTTCTTAATGTGGCCCTAATAGTCCATCGTAGGAATTATCTTAGGTTTAAAAAAAAAATTAAAAAGAATAAATAACATTTCAGCCGTGAAGGACATCCTGGACTAATTTCATTGTTTTTTAATCGTCAAACTTTAAAGTGGACGGCTGCACTGATGGGCTCTTTGTGTTTTGGGAAGTTTAAAGCAGATCAAGCCATCAACACAGAGAGAGATAGAGAGAGAGAGAATACAGCTCCATTAAATGTGTGATAGGTTAACGGTGAGAACCTGCACGCTTGTCCCCTGACATTACTCAGGAGCAGAGCACAACACTAGATAGACCTTGTTAGCTCTCGCCTGAAGGTATTGATTTGATTTTACCTCCGAGGGTTCCACCTCCTCCCCTCTTTTCTTTTTTTGAGTCCGCACACATCCTCGGCGCGCCAAGTGCTGAAGGAGCTCTTAAGTGATGTAGAAATTGCATAATGGAGGGAGTTTAATGAAGGCACCCAGTAAGGCTGGGAGGCTAAGGTTACTTAATTAAACAGACAATGTAAGGGTGCCTGTAGAGACAAAAAGGGAAATACAGGCAGATGAAAGTGACAAACTGTATGTGACTCACAGGGAGATGATCAGATACTGGAGAAGTCCAGGATGAATTTCCTCCTCGGGAATAGAGTGTATCTTATCTTATCTGAGATGTGACTTTTTTTAAAGTACAGGATGGATGAGAATTAATGTTGCTATTAGGACAACAAGATAAGAGTGACGCCACTTTGGTAAGAAAAGGAGCTCGTCTGATCTGGGCTTACACAATGATCCGACATGTACAGACATCCGAGTTGACAGATCCATCATCACTTCTCAAAACTCCCTCTCTCCGAGCCATTCACACTCCACACTTTTAATTTTTTATTTATAGTATCTCCAAGATGGGAAATGTGCAGTATTTATGCTGGTAATTGGTCTTTCATATTGACTTTTGTGGAGTTGTGGGAGGCAGAGATTACAGGCTTAGCGAGGTCTCAAACCTTTCCAGGAGCACAGGGGATTATAAAGCAAAGATTCTGTCTTGTCTGAAATAAGAAAAAAAAAAAAATCACCTCCCTCCTTCCTATTTTCACATCTGCAGGGTAAAATTGGCTGACTTTTCAGAGCAGCTTTGCTGGGTTTAATGAATGACATGCACCACAGAGAAGATGAAATGTGAAAATGTCTCTTGTAAGCCTCGTCTCAGTGTTGGAATAATTTTACCCTGGTAGTACCTCTGAATATTATCTTCAGCCAAACAGTTGATAAACTGTCAAAAAGTCTGGGTCAGCAGTTAATTTTGGTCTGTTTCACTTTGCATGCAACTCGTCAAACCTCACGTCACTGTTCATTAGATAGACAGAACTCAAGTGAGCTACAGGAGTCTGAAGACGTGGGAAAGCCAATGTCACTTTTTACCCCTAAATTGAAGATAGTGACATCTGATACCAAAACTTCTTTTGTTTGAGCTCTTAAGTAAGTGGCTCATCTACAACACGATTATTAGATGAAGTGACAGGGTTGCAGAAAGATGAAAAAAAGGACTAAAAAGATGCTGAATAAGAAGTTACCCTAAAAGTAGAATAACTTTTTAGAGGCTCTGATTTCTAAAGTCGATGATCCCTTGTAAGAATGGGCATGATTAATCGATGATCGATTGACTGATTGTTAAGATCATGCAAAATTTCGATCGATCTAACGTACAACATAACAACGACCGCAATGATGTACTACTTGAATCGCATACATCCGACTGATGTTAATGAATCCTCCGAGAGCTCCTAGTCTCAACCAACCATCAGCTTTTTGCTAGCAAGGAGGATCTGTAGGGTGACCGGAGGTCCCACATTTCAAGAGACAGTCCCCGTTTTGGATGACCTGTCCTCGGCCAAAGGTATTCCTGGAAATGTCCCCGGTTTTAGAATTTCATGAATGAGAAAATAAACTACGGTTATTATGGTAGCCGGGCAGGTGGGAAGCGCAAGTGAGCATGTACCATGCAGTCCTGAATCAATGAGGAAAAACACCTTTTTGCGTACTCAATCAAGGGAGTGTCTTTAATCCTAATCCCTTTACTTTTATGCTAACAGGCTTTCCCTGGTTTGGTATTCTGATGATGGTACAGAAAAATGACAAACAAACCAGTTCTATAACTGTAGAAAATTAACTACCACTTCCACTGACCCTCTGTAGGAGAAAAGTTGACCTCAGGTGTGTCGTGTGAAAACTCACTCCTCCTATATCACAGAGCAAACCTCATTTTTCAGGCGTCTATTGTCTGTACTTCTTCTGTTTGATCTGACACCGTTTGAAAACGCAGGAAAATTACAACGAGAGCCCGCTTCATCAGCTTTGGTGAATCAAGCACCCACAGCACGATGAGTGGGAGACTCTTCAAGGAGCTCCACTTTTCAAAGTGAGTGTGAGGACGTACTGTCTTCGTTTTTAGTCGACAAAGCAGCAGTAATATCAAAAATCAATACATTTGAAAAGCTACAGTAGTCAACTTTAGAAGTGCAAAAATTAATGATATTTATGACTTCATAGAGTATTTTCCGAAGCCAATAAAAAATGGCACATTCATTAATAGATACTTCACTCCTTCACCATGAATCATTGTCCCATGAAGAATTGAAAAATTTTGTATGATTTTCAATTTTTTCAGGATGCATCATGTCTTGTCTCTTTAATTTCTATATTGTAAACAAAGCTACTTTGATTTCAGGCAAATATTACACTTTTTCTGATAACAAAGCTTTATCAATATCTATTTCAATTAATGAATACAGTATTTTTGAGAGAAAATTGTGTTTTTGTTCGATTAATTTACCTGTAGGCATCCCCTTTGTATTCTCGGAAGTTAGGGCCTGTGTCCACCATACGCATTTATTTTGCTCCGACAGTGTCTATTTTTAATGCAGTTCAATGTTTTCAGCACTCTGCATCTCTTAGAGTCAACAGACAACATCTGTGACACAGCCATGCTGTCATCAATGTCATCTCTAACTTAGTGATCAATAATTCTACACTTTTTCAGACTTCCTGTGATGATCCTTCAAGGGGAGGTCAGACCCCCCACTAAATTTAATTTGCATATTCTGATCATGCCGCTCCTGTCTGCATCACCCCTCCAGTTTGGGTTATTGGTTATTTTATTTGTTGGTGTCCTTCATTTGTTCCACCTAAGGCTCCATGAGCAGGGCGAATTCCAAATATAGAGCAGCTGCTAAAGCAAAGATGTGATTTGCATCCATTGTTTTTATGTTTTACACCAAATTTACTTGAATTAAACCAAATGTGACGCACACAAATTAATGTAAATGCAGCCAAGTCGTCACTGTAGAAGAAAGTAAAAGTGTGCTCTGAAAGTGAGATAGTAAGAGCCACCAGTAAGAAAGATGCTGTTAGTGGACACAGGCCCTAATGTTCCAGGATTTGTTCATGAACTAATGATTCCACCCAAGAATTGTATTAATACTTGATTAAACGCTTGAGAAATACATCTCCAAATGGACGTTCAGTCCCATGTGAGGGCCTCAAATCTCATCACGAGACTCATAATCTGAGATTTTCTTTAAATATTGCCTGTGACTCGCTAACCTTCGACAGCTCACCACCCACAGCCTGAAGCCGTACGCCAGTGATTCAGACTTGGCTGTTTCATCACTCACCATGTCCAAAAGCTAAATCATAAGGGGGTGAGCGCACGCTGTCACAGAAAATACCGTATGAAAGATGAAGAGGATGAGAGGGCAGGAAAACCATGTGCCCTTAATGCATTTCTTTGATAAGACATGAAAAAAAAAAAAGATAAAAGAAAAACTCCACAAAAGCGTTCGTGTCGCCTGTAGGAACGGCTTCAAATACAGAGCGAGAGAGAGGGAAAACCTGATGAGAAGGGGTGACGGTGGAGAAAATGCATAACCCAGGGTCAGAGGCAGAAGACAGAGGTTTGTCCTCAAAGTCATTAATTGCCTGTGTGGATTGCAGTAGCCTTCATCACACACCTCCCCTCCTCTCCCTCTCTTTCTCACCCCTCCTTCTCTGAGCGCAGTTAGCCGAGGGTTTCGCTGGGATCCAAAACTATTACAGCTGCGCAGCCTCGGTGAGTCGCCACACTAAAGAGAAGTGACAACACAGTCTCGGGGGAAGGTTGACAACAGAGGACAAAGGGAGTTAGAGAGGGAGTAGCAGGGGAGAAAAAAAAGGAGGAAGGGAGGAAGGGAGGGAGAGAGAGAGAGAGGAAGATGCCAGAGTCTCGAGAAAGCAGATGGAAAACAGCAAAAGGAAGAGCGGCTTAAAGCAACATGAGATATTGTAGAAGACAAGTACAGCAGAAAGAAAAAAAAAACAGATGCTACAGGGGGAGAGCCGGCCAGAAACGGAGAGCTGGAGCAGATGAGCGGATGCCACAGGGAAGGAGCCTTGTTGTATTTCTGCCCCGTGGTCATACGAGATATTTAGGCAACTTAACCGCTGACGGTCCCTGGCAGTTTTCCAAGCCAACTGTTTATGATCCCCACCACTTACCGAGGTTAATAAACCAAACCCAAATGCCAAAATGATGACAAACTCTGCCTCGGGCACATCGACCTAAAAAAATAATCATTCGTCTCGGAGCAATTAAGACATCCGAACTTTAAATTAAACAGTAAAATATCTTACTTTAAATTGCACGCTTTTCCTGTCTGCAGCTGAGACCGAACCCAACTCAAGGTCAAGTATAACATCTTCTCTCTGACATGCAAGTGAAAGTGCTCGACATAGAAACAAACAGACTGAAAAAAAAGGATGGAAAATAAAATCATGGACTAATTTCATCAGGAAGAAACAGTCCGGCATCTCCACAGAGCGAAACCATCAAAACCAGAGAGAGGGATATTGTCCATACAGTGATAAAATCATTGAGTTTGACTGGAAATATCACTCACGTTTACTTCTAATACATCAAGAGAGAGCAACAGAAGGCCCTTTCTGCAGTGAGACACATGAGAAACATTAAAAAGAGAAGATTTAGAGGACAGAAGTCGTCTGGCAGGGACATTGGATGGAGAAGTGTCTCAGGTTTTCTTCAACTTAACAAAAAAAAACTAAAATGAAAAGAAAAATCTTGAAATTATTACTTGGAGAAACAGGAAACAGGGCCCCAGGATTTCATGTAAAGACTCATTAAACGTATAGTCTAAGCCAGTGGTTCTCAACTGGTCTCACTCTGGGACCCACATTTTCCCATGGTCCTCAAGTCACGCCCACTTTTATAGTATTCAAACAAAGTAATTCTTTTTTTATAAAACAAAAACTTTAAACTCTGTTTATATACCCCATTTTTATTGAGTAAAGTGCATTTCAGAGCACATGAACTGAGGACAACAACAACTACTAAAGTTGAATATACAGAAAATATCAAATTGCATAAAATGGAGACCAGAACATATTCAGAAGAATGTCGTTGTGTCGTTGTGTTTTCTGTTTTGTTTATGTTTTTTTCTGATTTGCAGTTGTGTTTTGCACCTTCAGGGCCACCGTACTTCTCCCTTTTTTGTCTTGTCTGCTTGCTCAAATCTTAACTACGTAATCTGTGTAAATGTACCTTTGGGTATCAATAACCTTTTTACTATCTTATCTTATCTCCCCTTCAAACAGTTCAGCCTCCTCTTAAGTTGTAAGATTGAGCAGATTTACTTCACTGATACTGAAGACTGACAGGAGACGTTTAGCTGCTTAAGTTAACATGGAAATATGACTGACAGCAGCTAAATCAAAAGGATGATACTGAATAAAAACGTCATTTTTCTCCTCAGGATGAACTTTAACGATCTTTTTTAGTTATCTTCTTCTTACTCCTGTTTACACAAATTAACGTATTTCCCACATCTAGAAAGTCCCCTGAGCTGAGTCCACTTTCTAAAATAGTATCTTCACAATAAACAACCCTGGAGTGGACAAAACTGGTGTGTACAAGCCATGTGCTCCATTTGAAGTTGTGGCACATTAAAATTTTTTAACACTTAGACATTGTTCATTTTTTTTATTGCAGAGTGAACTATTACATTTTTATGATGTAGGGAATAATTAATGAGGGAACAGAAGCTTCACAGCCACTTTTAAAGATAGTCAATAAGAAAAATGTGGTGCAAACACGACAAAAAGATAAAATCAGACCTTTTTTTTTTTTAATTATCAAGACTCCACATGTGTTTTTCTGTCAATGAGCAAGAATTGACTGCGGCTGGACAGGATACTGCCAGGAGCACTGTGATAAAGTAATAATGATTTCTATAGTTAAATGTAAGCAAATAAATTATTCTTCAACAGTTTATTGTTTTCATTCTGAATATAAAAGATGGTGGTGTAAATCCACAAAGATTTATACATCGATGACACCACAGTGAGTTTCCATTTTTCCCTCTCTTGAAACACACAGAGGCTTATTTGACGGCTTTTATACCGGCTGCACTCTCACTCTGAATCTTACAGACGATGGTATTAAATGTTTCGCTCGCAGAGATCCATTAGAAGAAAAGCTCTTTGTGTTTGCACGGATACTCTGAGTGCGATACAGGAAATGTTTGGTATGGGGTTACATTCAAGTTCAGCGAGCATTTAGATGGTTGTGCTTGCATCTGCATAATCATTGATTCTTTCTTCACAGCGCTGTAAAGATGCGTATTAAACTATCAGTCAAAGGCACCTGTCCACACACACACACACACACGTACGCACGTACGCACACACACACACGCTCCCTCTGTCTCACAATTTACTGGCCCTGCACAGTAGCAGAAGGCTGATTACCATTGTCAGAGGAGTGCAGACTCAACACTTTGTCACTCTCACAGTTAGTGCAGCTCTGCTGGGCGTTATGGATAGTGCTCATTCTGAACTCTTCTTACCTGCTATAATGATACCAAGTAGGAGTAGGTTCAGTCTGCTAACTCATGACAAATACAGCTCTCAATGGATACAGATCAATTTCCCGTCATCGTGATGTTTGAGGAAAACAGACATCACTGTTAGGTCTAACCGGTTATTTCCACCGCATAACATCTACGAAAAGGCCGTATCCGCCGATCGTAACCATTCAAGTTAACGTGTCAATTTCCACCGGCTTCTTTCCATTCCACTGCGGATCGCCAGACTTTGCAGCTGATTGTAAGAGTTCTATTTTTATTGGACGCCGGAGCATGCCGGATAAATTCAGCACAGACTAACCCATGCCGGGAAAGGAAGACGGTCACAGACACAAAACAAAACATCCGGCTTCTTTTCAAAATAAAGATCATTCTAGAAGGACTGTCAAGCACGAGAAACCGTGCATGTCATCTGGTAAATTTCAAAATAAAACACCATTTGACCATACATCCTCTTCATGTCCTTTTTTGGGGGCTGTCTGGCCTTGTCCAGGGAAGTTTATAAAATCCTTCAAATGTTGGCGGTTTTGTACGGAACTCTGAAGTTTGTGTCACGTGGACTTACTGAGTTCAAAGCGCATAAAAGACACTCAATCTGACCTAAAAAACTCTCAAAATGAACTTTGTGCAACTCCGTGACTCCGCCCCAGCGTAGTCATGTCCTCTTTTTGACGGTTAAAGGACATGGTTACCCTAATGTAGATGAGAAATACTTCCTAGTTCTGGATTTATCAGTAACACAGAACAATCTGATGGTCAATCCCTGATCCATGTGGACCCCAACAGGACTTTTAACTACTAACTCTGTCTTCAGGTAACAGCACAGCATAAAGGAACAAAGTTTACTTTATCAAAAACCAGTAAACCTGCAAAAACTGAAACTTTAGAATCATGTTACTTTTTCACATATAGTAGAGGCTCAACAGTCACTGAAAGACAGGAAAGACCTAAAAGACAGAAAAAACAACCTGTTGTGAGCATGTTGTTTCCTCTATACTGAGCCCAGCTGACTGGGACTGCACTACGCTGCCACTACGCTCCAAATGCACATCCTGTGGGCGATTGATGGCGCTGCTTGACAGGGCAGAGACGCGACGCTGACGCTCAAAATGAGTGCTATATGTTTTCAACTTTCGCATGTTTGTTTAGTATGGAGGAGGATTAGGGCCACATGAAGAGAAAAAAAAATAATTCCAGGAAGGAAATTAAAGCCGAAAAACTGAAGTTGAAATTTCAAGATTTAAAAAAATCTAAATTATGTCATAAAGTTGAAACTCGAGATTAAGAAAACTGAAATTTCAAGATTAAAGTCGAAATGTCGAGATTACAAAATATTGTGAATAATATAAAAATTACTAGATTAAAATCGACTTTTTCTACTTTTTTAAATTTCAACTTTAATCTCAAAATTGAAGTAAAAAAAATCTCCTTCTGCAGTTGTTTTTTCTCTGCTTGTGGCCCTAATCCTCTTCCGTAGTTTAGATAAACATGCAGTATTTTTGGATTCAAAGAAATCTGGGGACGACTGCAATCATTCACTCATAACACAAAAGTTTTAGTGCATGCACGTTGAAATTTACATGACCTTGCCCTGCACATAATTGCACTAAAGATTAATGTAACCTGCAGAAAGACACTTACAGTCCCAGGATGGATGACTTGAGTCCTATCAATCACTCTTGAAAGCTGCATGAAGGAGGAAGAGGTGTGAGATTGGCAGACAGTTAACCATGAAATTCACTTTCGCTGACGTTTAGAAGGTTTGCAATTTTCCAGAAGGATTGAGTTGAATCCTCGACACTCAAATGTCACATACAGTGCGTGTATGTGGGGGTGTGTATTGAGGGATGAGAGGACGTGGGAGGAATTTTCTTTAGTATTCCCAAGTTTTCATTAGATACTGACTTCAGCTTGGTAGTCTTTACTTAAACCAGCAAGAGGAATGTGGGCTTAATCATATTAAATTTAGTTTTACACACTTGGTCAGCCGAGTTAGTGCTTTAAAGTGAAAAAAAGAAGACGATATGCCTGAAGCGCATTAAACCTCCCCACTATTTAACTTAGCAAATGGGAATATACAGCACTACTAACAGCGCTAATGAGTAAAATGTCTTTTTGGCTCATGGCACAGCTAAAGGCAGATGATACACACTACACTGCGGTGATAACGAGCTTTACTAAAGTCCATATCTGTATTTTTTTTTTCCTTTTATTCCCAATTAGGACAAGTTAGCTGCTGCATGTTAATGAGTTGTGACAACCACTGCCTGAGTCTGCTGTGCCAAGACGTCAGGCCATTTGCTGGTGTTGTGTATGGATATGTTGAGTAAATTATATGGATTTTTTCCGTGGATGCAGACTGGGAGGGCTCAGGGGGGTTCTGGTTCATCAGCCTGGCCAGAAGTCAAAGAGAGAAGTGGGGGGGAATGGATCGGGTCAGCGGCAGCAGGCGAGCAAACAGGGAATGTGTCAGACAGGGAGAATGAACACAAACTAGCATGATAGGAGAGCGCGCAGTCATTTATGGGGTCGGAGAGGGACGGGGGGAGACGAAGAAAGAGTAGGAGAGGGAGGGAGAGAGGATGGCAATACTGCTGCTCTCTCACCCAATTCTGGATTCCCTGCAGCATGAATTAACATTTTATATTCAGAGCAGAATGTGAGTCGCGCTGGCTCTGCTCAGAGCTCAGTGAACTCTCATAAACTTGGCAAGCTCTGCAGGCTTCTACCCTGGCATTTATAACAAGACGTCCGAATCCACATACAGCCCCCAGGAGCCAGACGATGTCCGTTATTTTATCATATTTATTAATACAAGTCTTATTATTATTATTATTATAATCAAAACAAGAGAATCCATCCAAGTCACCGCCAGCTAAAAATGTTTAATTCTTGAAGGTTTCTGAGATGTCGAGAAAAGAGATGTCCATCAGGAATGGTGCAGCCGTCTGAATTCTGTCGAACAGCACAATAGGATTGTTCAGACTTCTTTCAAACACCGACTCAGTTTAAAGGGATATTACGGCGTAAATTTAAGTTATGGCCAAACACACCGCAATACAGGGTTGGGAGTCCTGACGAGTCAATCGACAAGTGCAGCGGAGTTTCGCAGCTCAAGGAAGAACATTTATGATGATAACTTCATGGAAATGCAATCAGACAGAGACGCTAAGGCAGAAGAACTAACACTTTTTTGGTGTAAAATGATTAATATGATGATAATTACTTCATGGAAGTGATTCGGTTTATTCGGTGATCGACTCGTCAGGGCTCCCCCACAAACAAGCGGCTGCTGGAAGAGAGCGGGTGAGTTGTGTTTAGTATCTTTGCTAAAGAAATCAGAAAAAGCTAAAAAGATGTTTGGTGGCTAGTACTATGGCTGGGACCCTATATGTCCTGTTGATGAAGTTAGGTGCTGTTCTGAGTAGAGGTGTCAACATTTACACGTGTAAACGGACAAATCATGACCATTTCAAAAAATCAATAGCCGTAGTTTTTTTAACAAACTGCCAGTGGAGATCAAGATGAGTGTAGGCTATGTCAGGCAAAGTTGGCTTACAACAAAAGCGCCTGCAATGGAAACACCCGAAAAAGTTGGAGGGAGCGACTGCTGCTGGCATTAGTGCTACCGCTAGCGGGTTACAGGCTAGCATGAGGGATCATACTTCCAACAAGTCGAAGAAATGTGACAAGGCACAAAGAGAGCATATCAGCAACTAATCTGGAGCCAGGCTGCGAAATTCCCTGCAGAGTGACAGTTAGCTCACGGTACGTTTTCCTGTCTGTCAAAATGATCGATAATTTTGTTTTCAACTCATTTTATTGTCTGTCATAAGTAACCTAAGCCTTAAAATGTTACATGAAGTTCTGTGATGTTGGCTATGATTTAGTTCCTATTTGAAGTGGGTCTACAAGAATACGTTTTTGTCTGATAACTACTGGAATGGTTTTGATTTATGGGGATTAGGGGGTGTTTGAATGGAGACAGAACCTTCTAGTGGTTATATAGCGCAACTGCGTTAGAAAGAGATATCCGACGTGTAACACGTTACACGTCGGTAAGAAGCCCTGTTTACACATGTAGAAACACTCTCAGTTCTGAGCATTATTTATGTCTATAGAGTGGCTTTTTGGTTGAGGTTCAGTCGTTGCTTGAGTTTGTATAACTAGAGAAGCAAACAGTCGGCAACATTCATCTCTTGATGGGGTGTCCAACTCTGTGTTACAGTGCGTTTGACCATAACTTAAATTTACGCTGAAATATTCCTTTAAGTCCACCATGTTAAACTTTATTATTTAGAATCAAGCTCAAAACATGGGGTGTTTTTCAGAGAACGAATTACATCCACAGTATCATGATTTTTTTGTCTCCTTCTATTATGTTATGATGAGATGAGCTCTATATTTCAAGAACAGCTCTCAATGTCTCTCATTTCATTTCCTGCTTTTGCTACAAACCCGTCTTTTGAAACCATGTCTAATAGCCTAGCCTCATTATTCTCATAGTTTCACGTCCGGGAGGGTCATGCCTTTTGATGCGATGCAGTATGTACTTGTACATGCATGCATTTAATATACATGCACATATATAAACGCGTGCCCTCTTTTGTGTTGTGAAGCATCAAAGGTCCTTGTTGCTGTGTCTTTGTTCTGTTGTTGAGCACACTCTCTATAGGGCAGGGAGTTGCAGAGGTGATGAAAGGCTGCTCACCCTGACAGCATCCTTGCGGGGAAGAAGCTAATGACACGTTCAATACGGCAAACAATGTCGTTAGGAACAAACAAGACCTGCCTCCTCCATCATTGATGGGAGAGATAATTGTTGCCCAATTTGCATAAGAAATGTTGTCGAACCGATTGGGGTCTTGAGCAAATAAGCATGTACATAATGCCAGTGAAGCGTAATTAAAGGTGAAGAGTTACTGATAATTAACCAATGACCTTCATAAATGTCAATCAAAATGTTATCCTCTGATCAGAGGATGAGAGCGAACTGAAGTGAGTGCAGCAGCAGCAGCAGCAGCGCCGGCAGCAGACCAAAAACACCCCCGTACCTCTTTACCGGGTTTAACTCCACTCTTATATTTAATGAGTCATTGTCATTACCAAGCAAGTAAATAGATCCAGGTCTCTCCGGGGTCCAGCTGCTTGAAATAATGGACAGGAATTTCATAATGAGCCTGAATGCTAACCTTTGGAGGGCAGATTTTGTGTCATCAAACAGTAACCCAACTGCATCCATTATTGGCCATTAGGTCCCGGGGTTTGAAGGTGAACACAGGTTTGATCAAATTACCGATAAAAAAAGACAGACAGCTTTTTACTCTGTTCAATTTCATGAACTCTCCTTAATTGATTCAGGTCTGCCTCTCTCCAGCTGGCATCAATCCATCACCAGTACCGCCTGTGTGGAATGTAATACAGCCAACCAGTTAGGCCGCCTGCATACCTGCTTGCGCTCGCTCTCCTCCGCTCCTCTCCTCATGTCAGCCCCTGTTTCAAAGACGGATTATATTGGCCTCCTCTCAACACACAAAACCCACATCCCCTTCCCCGGTATCATAACAAGTTGTAAATGAACTCAATGCTGCCGTCAACTGAAGAGCAAACTGGCAGCAGACGTGAGCATGTTCCTCCTCTCTCTTTTTTTTTCCACCCCTCCTTATTTTTCAACCACAGGCGAGCGATCGGATTTACTGTTTTAATAAAACCACCATAATTCTCCCTCCTCTATATCCACCAGCCATATCTTTATGGTAGCATGAATTATCTCACCAAACACTGTGCCAGTAAGGATAGAGTTATGGAGACATCATTGCACATCACAGCGGCTGTATCAGAGGGATGAGAAATGACCCCGTCGTCGTCGTCGACCGCCACTGTAGATGACTGTGATACTTTGACGGTTTGAGGGAAGATCCCCCTCTCTGGAGTGAGATGCTTTCTCTGCTTATCGCTGTTCATAATACAGAAGCCCTAGCAACAGGTTCCTGTAGCAGGTGTTCTCATAGTCGCCTGTTTAAAAAGTCAACTAAACCAGAGTGAAGCCCCTGAGATTTGAGCGCACCATAAATCCTATCTGGTTCCTTTAAACGAGAAAAAATAGCAAATACGAAAATGTGAAAGGTATTTATTTCCACTGTATCTCACTGCTCGGGTTTCCCCTTGTGCCTCCTGAAAACCACTGAATAAATATAAGTTTTTACCAACCAACCAAGGCTCAAGTATAAATGTAGGATCAATACTGTGTATGGGAAAATCATTTGAATTGTGCAAACTGCACATCGGGGACACAGAGTATTTTTGGAGCTCTTGGCAGAATCTCATTTTCCCCGGCTTTTAAAAAAAAATATATCTCTGCCATACACTGATCCTAAAAGCATTGTGAGGACGTTGGAGGAGTATGAGCTCTGTTTGCTGCATATTTTTTCTTTCTTGCTAAGAAATAACTGATGTATTTATTTTTCTTAAGAATGCTATGAGAAATCATTAAAGTCTATGATTGCTTTCGACTGTTACGTCAAACTATCTTTTCTTTCTTTCATTATGAGGGGCCTGGGGATCTTATCTGCTCTTACTGTTATTATTTCCATTTCTATTTCTATCATCGTTATTGTTGTTATAGTTATTATTAAGGGCTGGAAAGGTCTGAGCACTCAACAGGATCCTATTTTCCCTTTCATGGCCAGAGTTGAGAGTTTGAGACTTGGCCTGGCATTGTCCAGTGGAGACGGAGGGCTGACGTATGTTATAGTTGTTTTTTTTTTATTTAACTTGCTTGTATGTTTTTTTTTAAGTTAGCATCTTGTCCATGTTTATCCATTTATTCAAGCAGGGGGGCAGCATTTATTCAACAACTTGGCTGAATTGCTCTCTGTATTTTTTGGGATTTTATCCACTTTCTGAAACCACCACTTGTGCAGTAGCGTTGTATGCATTCGACAGGAGAGTTGCCGAGATGACTGCACGCTCTCCAGTCGCTGTGATGACTAGGGCTGTTAAGTCCGAGTCGACTGGCCGACTTATTGGTCGAAACGTGTTGAGTCAACCAAAATTCTGATTGGTCGACTCGATTTTTTTCCTCGTCAATTTACAGTCTATGGTTAATTTCATAAGGAGGAACGAACCAAGTGCTAATAGGGGTGTTTTCAGAGCACCCCCTTTTCACAGCTAACAGCATGTCTCAGAACACCCCCCTTGTTTTCAGCATTTTGGATTCGCCCAACCCACTGGAGACAGGAAGATTGAAGAGCGTCCACGTTAGTCAGCGTCCGGTGCTTTGCTAAATATTTATTTTTATTTTAAGCTTTTAAACTTTCATCATCTTTAATTGTCTTCTTATGCTGATATCAGTACATTTTCACTTCGCCGAGCTGCGCTATGCCAAGCCGCGTCTTTGTCTGTACCATAGACACTCTATATATACTATGAACAACTTCGCTCCGCCTTCCGTCATTATATGAATTTGAAGCTGAATTGCTCTCTGTATTTTCAGGGTTTTCTCCACTTCCTGGAACCACCACTTGCGCAGTAGCATTGTACGCATTTGGCGGGAGAGTCGCTGTGACGACGCTCGGCTCAAACAGCGTATCCCCCGGGTGAGCTATGCAGTCTTTGTACGCCCATAGGCTGTGATAATAATAATAATAATAATAATAATAATAATAATAATAATAATAATAATAACAACTTTATTTAAATAGCACTTTTGAAAACAAGTTTACAAAGTGCTTTGACAAACAGTTGCAAAGCACAGAACATCAGCACATGAAAATAAAAACAAACAAAAACAGAAGCTCAGTTAAAAACAAGGCTTTCGAATTGAAGGCCAATAAGAAACCAGGCAATACAAGAACCCTTCAACTTAAAATGAGACCATGAGGACCAAAATAAAAACATAAAATAGGTAAGAAGAAGAAACGAAATAAAAAAGGGGGCAGAAAGCAGGAAACAGGATACTAAGTATAAGTATACTAAGTATATGGTCACTCACAGTTTAAGATTTTGTGGCGCCACGCCAGCCCAGGCCAGCGCTTTAGATCCAACCCCGCCATCAAGGAAGACTCTCTCTATTCATCCTTCGTCTATTCCCCCTTTCCCCTTCAGGGTCATGTGGGCGCTGGAGCCTATCCCAGCCTTCACTGAGCCAGAGACAAGGTACTCACAGGGCAGAGTGCCAGTCTATCACAGGGCTGACATATGGACAATTACACTCACAGGCCACATACAGTGATCAGTTAACCTGATGAACATGTTTTTGGACTGTGGTAGAAAGGTGGAGTACAGGGGGCGATGTGAACCCCACAGCGACAGGCCCAAGAGTGGACCAGGTCTTCTGTCCTTTTTTAGTCACTTGGATTGAATGAAGGAAATACAAATCAGATGAAGACATCCTACTTAAATAAATAATAAATCCTAGGGATGCTGGTTGGCGCAGTGTTTGAAGATGGTCCTATTTGTTTCCGCTTATCAGTCGGGGTCGCCATATAGGAAATAATGAGTAATCCATACTTTAGCCCATCAAGAGGCACAAGACATTGCCGTTCTCGAATTCGCTGACTATACTAGCAGTACGTACTGATTTGCCCAAAATTTTGTATGCAGTACACAGTATGCAAACAAATGCAAAATTTGCCTACTGTTACCCACGATGCAAAGCGCCTGGGCAGACGGCGGAATCGTGGAGAGCGGTGAAACTTTTCACCCGAGCGTTCATTTTCTAAGAGGACAGACAAAAGATTTCTCCTCCTGACAGCCTGTCTTCTCCTTCACCTTTCAGCTTTATGTGTGAAAACCACTGACAAGAATGTTTTGTTATCATTCCGTACAGTTTTTATTCTCTATTTTCTTCGCCTTAAATGTTCCTGCTTCTCCTCATCCTTCATACTGTACCGTACGCGTGATGTTTACCACACACAGCGCGGTCCATCAGTGATGTTTCCATCACACAGCTGGACAGGCAGCTGCTATCAGGGGGGGTCTAAAACTTTAATGCAGAGAGGTGAGTAAACGTTCGATCAGTCTGACTCAATCAGCAGACAAGAAATAAACTGACAGGAGACAGGAGTTTGGATTAGAGGGTTTTCACTGTAGTTATCAAACTATCAGGACAACGGAAAAATAAGACCACACCACGCAGACGCCATCAGTTAACACGTTTAGTGAAGATGCTACTTCTATCATTTAAGCAGGAAACGAGGACAACATAACTGAAATAACTTTGCTGTATTTGCAGTGCTGTGATGAGAATCTTGTTGCCAGATCGATAAGTCATTGCATAGACAGAGCACATTTTGATGGCTGGTATTGGGCTAAAAAAATCAAGAAAAAATCAAATTAAAAAACACATCAGATTTCCTCAGTGCATAAATGAATGGGCAACAATCTTGTACCTGCAATTTTACCAGGGTATGATGTACTTTTCCATACCAGAAACTAGCTAAACTGTGCAAAGCATACTACATAATAACGGACGACTTTTGGTCATACTGCATCCTACTATTGAACACAGTATGAAGTATGAAGTATCTACTGCAGGAGTATGGAGAATAACAATTCAAAAACTGCCACAGTCGAGGTGATTCAGACCAAAACCATGTCTTGAATCAGGTTATAAACATGTTTGTTTCTGCTCAAAGATGAGCTTTTGTATAGAGTGTGGATGTGGTTTCTCATGCTTCTGGAGCCAGCCCTCTAGTGGGCTCTCAAGGAACTGCAGTTTTAGACCCTATGTCCAGGTATTTTAATAAATACTGACACCAACCTGATTCATTTTCTCAAAAATCATTTTACATTCAGGCGTTTCATTGAAAGGTTCTGCCAAAGCTGTCAGTACACATTTGGGTTTTATGCATTTCACTCAGTTTGATTCGATTTTACATTTTTACTGTTTGAGACCATAAGGAGTCAAAACCCGCAGATCTAAATGAAGCAGATTTTTACAGCTGCATGTTTTATATCTTTACCAGCAGCAATCAAACAGTCAACAGGATGCATAATTTGATGTTTGACTTCTTGCAGTCATTCTGGGAAGCTTATTAGTGGATTCGCCATCGCTCCCAGAGATGACAAACCCTCATATGACCTTAAGGCTAGGACAGAGAGAAAAAGAGAGAAAAGGGAAGGAAGGAGAGGTGCTGAGTGTGGGCCTAAGGATGGAGGAGAGGGAGAAGTTTGAGATTATGAGAACGCAGAGAAAGGCAGCTGAGGTGCATCCAAAACTCTTTTTAATTACTAATCAAGTAGTTTGCTCACAAGATGACACTCTCTCGTCTTCCTTAGGAGACAGATGTCATGCACACTTCACAGGGTGACCTCTTCATCATGCCTGATTCTCCCTCTAAGCTGTTTGACATACCGATGATCTGCAGCTACAGGGCCAACAGAATGACCAGACAACTTGAAGGATCACTGCTCAGCCCTCGCCTCTCCTGGCTGCTGCTGCGGCGTCTCTCACAGCTTTTCCTCCTCTTTTTCGCTCGCTCATAATGCTAGACATGTCAATCAGCAGCCTGAGACAGAACACTCATCCCCCGGGGAGATTATATGTCATCAGGGGATGGAGGAACTTGCAAATCCCCCTTTCCTCTCACTGCTCCCGTCGAGGGCTCGAGGAGTAGCCCATCTCCTCCTCTGTGATTAAAGTGGGAGATTGAGTGTGTTTGCGCAGCACACAGAGAGGCTTATTACAATGCACTAGCATGTTGTTGGAAATGGCCCCGGCCAGGAGCTGTAATCCCGAATGTGCTTAATGAGGGGCCGCCCAGCCTCTCCACAGGCCTGAGGAGTCAGTCAGAGCAGGAGGGGAGAAGAGGGGAACAGCTTTCTCCATCAACGTATCAATCTTCACAGTGATTGAAAAATTATAATAATAGAGCTCAGCGCTGATATTTCAGCTGCTTTGTCCTGGACTGCTGTCTCTTTAATGACATTCACATCAGATGGCTTTTCAAGAGGGGAAATCAGATAGTATTGAGTGTAACCTGAGTGTGATAGCAACTTATAGAAAAAAAAGACATTTCAGAAGAAGGCTGATGAGCTGTTATGGTAATTAAATGAATCTTTAAGAGACAATTGCGCATCTTTTTATTCATGTGTCCTGAAAACTCGGTGAAATATATCCGTGAAAGTACACTTCTTTATCAAGTACCCTTGTCAGTCAAGGAAAAGCAGGATTTTTCACAGCTCTGAAATAAAACGCAAAGCACTCTTGTCTTCAGAGCAGCAAAGCAGAAATCCTTCAGTCCATCAACAGGGTGGCAGGAACAGTAATGCAAAAGCTCAAAACAAACAGACGCTGATGGGGATTGACGGCCGAGAGGAGAGGTTTTACCTTTGAATGCAGCCATAACTGCACAAAATCAAAAAGGAAACTATTTTCACGAAAGAAATTATCCACGATCAAAACATTTTTTCTCAACAGGTTCATTTTTTAGAGAGTCCGTATTTAAATTTGTCTCAAGGGAAGTAATTTATTGTCAGTCGGACTACCTTCACCCTGAAATACTCCCTTTTAGTCTTTCCGTCTTTTTTTATCTTATGAATCATCTTCATGCTCCTGCTGTGTTCTCCGTCGTATTGCTAAGGGACTCATCATCGCTGGCATTGAACTTGGAGTCCGAAACTTTGCTCTTAGCAACAGAGAGAGATTTACCTCACAGCAACAACACAATCAGACCCTACAAAACAGACGGATGCCTAAGTTTGGGTCCTTAATATTCGGCACAGTGTTTTTAAATGCTGTCTTTCCAGGACATTGGGGCCATGACTGTTCTTGGCCTTGCCTCCCAATGCCCCATAAAATTCATACATTTAAGGCGCTGTTGCAGTTAGTCCTGGACTAACTCTAAAAATCAGTGCAAAGGAAACACACTGCCTCAGCTGCATCCAGGTGCATGGGACATTTTCTTGCTACTCCTCCACTTAAAGGTAGTGTAGTCAGGATCTGAGGAAGTGCCAGTTTTGTGGAGAAATCTTGAATGTAAACTCTACCCCTCCCAACCAGTTTTCCCCTCAGCTCCTCCTCTCTTGTTTTTAGACTTCAACAAGCGCATCCAATCCTGTCGGACCATCTTCCATCGATGTGAAAGGTAACATTCAAGCAGCACAGGTAACGTAACGTGACGTAATAACATAGCTCCTTGAGCGGCAAGAGAGTGGTGGTAACGGCGAAAATTTCTAGGTTAAAACTGACCTGAGGAACAGGCTACAAAAAGAGCATCTCGCCATCTGCAGGCGTGTGAGCATCACGCTGGATGAAGGCTGTGTGAATAAGTACTCTGGTTTATATCAGGTGTGAGTAATTTTCTGTGTTGTGACATTATTTTATTTTATTCAGAATAATATCAAAAGCTGTAAATTGAAAATACAAACCTGTAAAATCCTGTCTATAAAGATTTTTAAGGTCATTTAATTTGAAACTATTTTCACGTGCATGAATACGGGTCGACATGGCATCCTCATGGACACAGACACAGCAGCACCAACTCTGAAAAAAATTCTAGGGGGGAACACTGAGTTTAGGATGTAGTGCAACTCTGAGAACAATCACTTTGGATCTTAAATAAACTGTCTAAGAAATATCGCTTTAGAAAATAAAACCATTCAGCCCTACAAGGAGGCGTCAAATTCTTCTGTAACTCCTGCAGAGGATCAGTAGGACGGTGGACCTTAAATGTGACCCTGTGTTTAAACACTCTGAAATAAATGTGGGCAAATGCGCTCCAGACTACTTCCCAAACTATCCTCTTGTGATTCAGCCAGACAGGTCACGTGTTAATTACCAAATGTAAACAGTACTGATGGGACTCCAAGCTCTTTTTAGTGATCCAAATCTCTTGGCTCAACTCGGCAATACAAGCCAAGTAATTTGGCTCCTCGGAGTATCAATTTGGCTTCATTTAATCTGCCATTTGTTGCAATGTTTTTGACCCATCTTTGATATGTGTGCCTGGATTTTATTACAGTATTCTTTGTTGTCATAACAAACCATTACCATAAAAAGACATTAATATTACACCACCATCAGCAGCTCCCTGAACTTCATTACTGCACCTCTCCCTGCATCTCCAGTACTTACTGAAAAAGAGAGAGAGCACATTAAACCAATACCCTGACAGAGATTAGACCTGTTAGTTCCAGTATATCGAAAGTCTCCAAAAGTAGTCCAGGAGGTAGAGCCGGTTATCAGGTTTCTCTCCTTTGGAATCATCTTAAAATCCCTGAGGAGTAGGTTTCAAACTTTCCTCTTTGTTAAAGTTGATTTATGTTTCTAACTTTGAATCATTATGTCCCATTAAAGAAACCAACCACAGTTTTTCCTGGTGGTCCCTGTGCCCCCTTGTGTAGTGGGATCTTTGTTGCAGACGCCCTGCTGCTGTTCTGACTCCACATGCAGCAACTTTTAATATCAGCCTCACCATTTCCATCGCTGTTACTGTACTAATATTCATTTTCAGATCAACTTGACCCCAACTCTAACTGATAATATTATTCCTACACTTATTAACTTCATTATCACAAATACTAGACCTGCTGGCCTTGATTAACATAAATAGTAAGAGGACTCTAGTATCATTGATTTACATTCCTGTACCCGTATTGTTAACATTATAAGCCTGTATGTGCTGTTGTTGTTGTTGTTGTTGTTGTTTGCCTCTATCAGTCTTTTTTCTCTTCAACATAAAAGAGGCAGATGTCAAACATGAACCTGGATCTGCTCAAGGTTTCTGCCTGTAGAAAGGAAGTTTTTTTCTGTAACTTGTTAGATGCTGAAAAGTGTTCCTCTCATCGATCTTACTTGATGAGACTCTTCCTCATGCCACCTCATGAGAAAACATGGAAGAATTTTACAAAGCAATCTATCACTACTCATCAAAGGGGATCTTTTTTTTCTTTTTCCTTTAGAAAAGTTAAAATATACAATAAAGCCATCTAAAAATTACAGAACAGTAAATTGTAGTTCTCTGTATGATATGGAGAGAACATTTCAAGGTCAATTAAATGAACAAATGGAAAAATGAAAACTGCAAGGGGCTTTGAACCGAGCACATTTAAATTATTATATGAAGCACAATGTAGTTTGTCCAAGTTGACTTGCCGTAGTTTGACGCCTTCAACAGACCAGTGTTGTTTTTGGCAGGCATTTTAGATTTAGTTTTAGTCTTAGTCATTTTGACGAAATGCTTCTTCCTTTTAGTCCCATTTTAGTCATTTCTATCCTTGATAGTTTTCGTCTAGTTTTAGTCCGAGGAAAACTCAAAAGGTTTTCGTCTAGTTTTAGTCGACGTAAAGGTGCCTTTAGAGGTTCGTGGTGTTCTTTCCCGACAGTTTGAAGCATGAGGAAGCTGTGGCTCCACAACTGTCGTCTGTCTCGTCTCCCCGTCCCGTGTTTTATTGTCACTTTTATTTTATTGTCACTTGAACTGTATCTGAAGTAGGACCAAAAATCATCCCTCTTTTTTCGGCCACCGGGCACCGCTGCTGTGCCTGCCGCCACGGTGTGTGTGTGTGTGTGTGTGCGCGCCTCGTCCACCTGCCGCTCTGTGTATGTGAATGAGTGTGTGCGCGCAGCTGTGCGCGAGCGCGGCTTTTGGTGCGTGTGTGATGGGGCGTGACTGTTAGGACAAAAAAAAAGCATGTTTTGAAACTTTGTTTGTCCACCTAATAACAATTTAGTCTCGTCTCGTTCTCGTCTGACGAAAATGAATACAATTTTCGTCACATTTTAGTCTTTACAGAGCTTTGGTGAAGTTCGTCTTAGTCTCATTTTCGTCAAGGAAAAAAGGGGTCTAACGTCGTCATTTAAGTTTTCGTCCTGCCTGACGAAAACAACACTGCAACAGACGCTGGGCTCCGAGCCGATCTGGCAGCCCGAACACATCTGGTACGTACAGCGGCTCTTTAAGCTGAGTTGATTTTCGATCAACATTAACCTTCATCTTACTTAATACCATAACATCTACTATCATTGAAGTTTCATTCAGTTGTTACATTAGTGTAGAGCTGGGTGATAAACCGAAAATTTACGACAACAACCGGCATCATTTTGCCCATATCGGTATCTTTGGTGTCAAAAAAATAAATAGATAAAAGTTGGTTCTGGATGTGTGTAGGTAGGCTATGGTCTCATGTCCCTTTAAGACGCCGTCCTACGTCAGAGACGTGACTCCACCCCACCCAGTCTGTAACAAAGAGGGAAAGACTGGTGAGGAGATAGAGGACGGTTCAAAAGTTGGAGCGGCTGAAGTAGACGAAGTTAATGTGGGAGGGGGTGAGCAGCTTGTGGAGTAGTTATTGTCCATTTATCGTTATTGAGGTGAACTGATCAATATATCGTGATACTGATTTGAGGCCATATCGCCCAGCCCTACATTACGGTGAATTATTCTAAAGAATTACAGAACATTTAAATACAAAAGAGTCACTGTTTGCCTGTTGCGACAGAACAAATAATTATTCTAATCCTGTATCTGAAGGGAAATGCCAATCACAGTTTAAGACCAGTTTTTCAGGAGGGACCACTCCCCCAGACACAGAAGCTACCTCCTCTGGAAACACCCCTGCTCACTACAATAAGGCTAATGGAGCATTTTATAATAAACGCCTCAATGACAAATGAGAGTGAACAATCCTCAGCTGGCGGGACTTCAGCGTCCATTTCAAACGCGCACAGTAAAGGGCAATACTGATTACGTATAAAAGATGTCAATCAAAACTTGATTATCTTTAAGGAGTGCTTTAATCAGCGAAATGAGCTGCATTTTGATATACCTTTTTGCAGATAAGCTCCATTTTTGTGGAGACTCTTCACTTTGATATGAAATACTCATTTTTAGCAGCGCAGAGGTTGTTAAATGTCTCTTCCATGCTGCTTCCGCTGCTGCTGCTTCCTTATTCTACAGCAGACACCTTTGATTAGGTACAACCTGACCTACTGCAACCAAGGCCCATTGGACATTTGCCCAAAGCCAATACTCCAGCATGCCACAAATCATTCCCTTAATTATTGATAAGCCAATTTCAAGTAAATAGGAAGCCGGAGAATGCAAAGGTCTGCAGAGAGGCGCAGCCTGACAGTATATCTAATGCAATTATTCTTGTTCTAATGTGAAATAAGTAGTGCTGGTCTTTTATAGCTCCATGTTGCCACAAATAGGTACTGGAAATAATACAAAGTTAATGGAGCGGTGGGGCGTGTAACCATATATAACAACAGATTTATTACATTTGAGTTACATGTTCTGTGATATCATTAATTGAAATCTGGGATGATAATTTGATCTGTTAATATAAGACTTTAGTGAAATTCCCCCTGGAGTCAATCGAGCTCAGCCGAGTGAAACGACTTGTTTCAGATCGTATTGGAAAAATGAACCGCTGTGATGCGAGCTTCTCTAGTCATTACTTCAGACGGTGTTTTCTGCATAAATTCCGTTGATGAGTAAGATAATATTGTCAGAAAATAAAATAGGACCAATTTGAAGAGATTCCACGTACGAGTGATTCCCCAGCTACCACTGTTGTTCGAATCAGATCATGGAACAAAAGCTGGGTACATAATTGAAAGAAAATTAGTTTTTCTCTTTCTTGTTTTCTCAATGTATCTCCCAGCAGGGGGGCTGCACAGATATCGCTCAATCCCTTGTTTTTGGGGGGTCTTTTCAATTAATTTACTTAATATGTTTTCATCCCCTGGCTTCTATCTAGTCAAAGGAACTGCCTTCTTGTTGCCAGGAGACCGCTTCTATTATCACACTCATTCATCCTTGCTGCCTCTCTCTTGGGTCAGTATGTGACTGGAGTACTCTGCACACAGCTTGTTGTGTAGTGACATGCTGCTTGTCCTTTTCAAGTCACGAATTAGCCGAACAATTACACGAGCTGAAGTGCTCAGTGTTTCCGAACGGGAAAAAAGTTGGAGTTCGGAGGACTTTCGCTGCTCACCTCAGGAAAGAAACCTCTGAATAAACGGAGCTGCATTACTGAATCTTCACATTAATTTTGTGCAAATACCCATAAATAGAAAACACTCCACTTGCGGTATTTCCAGGTATTCTATTAAGATTTGAACAGGTTGGATCTCTCAGTGAAATATTTTCTCCTGGTGATAAATAAAGAGGACCCCTGTCTGGGCCTCCTGTTCTTCCTCTTCCTCCCAAAGCTTTCACGTTTCCTTTCGATGGCAGATGGTGCACTAAGCAAAAAGCCTTTGAGAGAATCACTCCCAACATGTGTCTCCTTCCCCTGTTAAATAAGGGAGAAAACTATCACACCTGGAGCAAAGCTGGAGGAAGAAACACTTGCTGTGTTTTATCTCCTTTTTAGATGAGCTCTCATAATCTGAAGCTGTATTCCAATAATTCTTCACTTGTGACATTTCCCTTTGTTTAAAAATTGTCTTTCCATTCGCGGGCTGGTAAAAGCTGCAGAAAATAATCCATTTAAAGAGAGAGGTGGAGAGTGTTGTCGTGCAGGATCTGTAGAGTCGATTTTCATAGAAATGTGTTGCATGTTATACAAAAGGAGTTGGGGGAAAAAACCACATCCAGTCTTTGTGGATCAAGACTATTGTGCGTTCCTCTCGGTTGTTTGCTTTGCTCTGAAAACAGTGTTGTGGTTTTTTCGCTGTTGCTCGCGCTGACATCAGTTGCTTATGCTGACATCATTTACCAGCCATCAGCTGTGTGTGCAAATTGGCACAGACACAAAAAAAAGCCATGTTTTAAATTCAGAGAGCTGCTCAGCGGGCCTGCGAACATGCTGTAATTATACAGCTCCCAACATGTCGGATGCTGCGCTGAAACTGACGCCAACAGCTGTAAGAGGCATGTTGGAAGCCAAAGCCACACAGCTATTTGGAATTTATTTATTTAACCTGCTTTGGCCCCTTTTACATTCTGCCAACCATACAGTAAGAATGTTTGCTATCTGTTTTGGTTGTATTAAGGCAAATAGTTATCCATAAATTTGCCCTACTCCCTCGGACCAAGCACCAAATTGAGGGGACAGAGCGTTCTCCACTGCCATCACTGCCCTCTGGAATTCACTCCCCAAACCCACCAGAGACTGTTCAGACCCGCGTACTTTCAAATCAATCCTTAAAACACACATTTTTAAATTGGCTTTTAACCTGTAAGCTGTTCTTTTATTGTCTTTTCATATTATGTCTTTTTTTAACCTTTTACATTGTTGGTCTTTTCTGTATTTTAATTGTGTTTCTTGTAAAGCGTCTCTGAACACTTGTTTGAGCGTGTAATAAATAAAATGTATCATTATTACAATCATAAATGATAAATTTGACTAATTTGAGGTGTGGGGAGTCAATTAAAAGGTGTCATCATGTAGCTTTCTGCCTAGAGTGTTAAAGACCCACTCTGATGAAAATCATGCTTTTCTTGTTGTCTACATGTTCATATGGCATTTTTCTGATGATACAGGACATATCATGAGAAGGAATGAGATTTTCTACATAGCGAATTCAAGCTCCGCGAATTTAAGCTGGTTCTGCTAAAGGTTTCCACCTGTTAAAGGAAGTTCTTTCTTTACACTGTTATTTGCTAAATGGTGTGAATGGGATGAGAGTGGGTCTGATCTAACAAGATCGGCTCAATCCCATCTTTACATTGGGTCTTTGTAGAGCAGCTTTTTTTGTTTTTTGTTGTCAGGCATCTTGGGTTAACACTTGTTGTGAAGTGGCGTTGTATAAATACAGATCAGCTCCACCTCTTTCCTTGTTCTGTGACCCACTTGCAGACATATCCACCATGGCATCTCTCATTAAAGCGGACAAAGGAAATAGCAGACTTAACACAAATGTCAGTGACTGTGTCAAATGAGGTGAATCAACTCGAGTGTACCGGTTCGTGTGCTGGCATTCGTCGTCGTCTGCTTCTGGTAAATGTGCATGAGGTAAAGTCGAACTCCACTTGAGTTTGCAGGTGATTCATTCTTACATATTAGAGAGTTTTGTCTGCGGCTGCCATGTACTGCTTATTAAAGCCTACATCATGTTGGCTGCAGAGAGTGTAAAATTCACTTTCAATATGTTTGTGAATTTGTGATAAATCCTGTGACTGAAGCAGATGACGACTCATACTGTTGGGTGAACACAGCAGCTGTTGGACATTGGAAACCAGCTTATGCAGTTACCAGTGGGGTGATAATATTAGTAACAGTCACTTCTGCCTTTTTCACATCTTTTAACATAGTTCAAAGAAAGATAAGCTTCTCCTTTTTTCTCTGTACATGCCACATAACATGGCAAATTCACGGTTGAATATGTAGTTTACAAAAGAGAATTTGTGCATTAGTTATTCAGCAGCAGCATGCAGTAAATAACATTTCCCTTCTGCTGTTCAGAGGGGATGTGAGGGGTGGGTGGACATGGTGACGTGAGATGCAAAAGGTCAAAAGACTGAACGAAATTTGCATTGATTCGGCATTTCCAATACCGCAGTCGCCATCAATGGGTTTCTCTTCAGGCACCGATGGGTGATGAAACTGAGAAAATTTCCACTTGCTGGTCTTAGCCGAAGCTGTTGTGCAGCATGCTCACACCAAAGTTACCTCAAATGTGTTACAGGTTATTTAACTAAACGAGGCACATCTGTGCGGCGTCATGCAATCAGGTTACTGCAGCTCAGTGAACTTTTGAGGCTGAATAATATCACATAGGGCCACACGATTAATTGATGAGGATGTTAAAAAAAATTAAATCTTCAAATAAATTTTCCTATCTCTCATGTTTCGTGCCTCCAGGCTACCGTAGGCTCCTCCCCCTTCCTGCAGGAGCGCTCCCCAGTTCCCACACACACTAGTGTAAACAAACATGGCGTTTGCAAAAGAAGGCGATAATTTTGTGGCTAAACAGGACAAGAGCGAGTAAGTCGTGTGGAATTGGGACGGCTTCGCAGTTTCGGACGAAGAGCAAACCACTCCCAGCTGCAAAGTCTGTCTGAAGGCGGTATCAACCCACGGAAACGAATTCAGGAGTAAACGCAAAACTTTTTTGTCATATCGGCGTTTCATCCACAAGGAAACAGCATTTCAGGGGACTGTAAACCATACTTTTTGAAAACGGGTCAGAGAGTGAATAAATCTTTATAGGCATTCTCTTTACTCTTCCTCTGTCTCCTGTGCATTTCCTGTTTAGCATTACAACACTACTTACTAATTTTTGTACACATCGCTAACCAAAATAGTCAAACAACAGGGTAAGTTTGGTCAGAAAAGACAGGCGTGGCACTTTAAATTATGAGATTGTGCAGTACATATTCTCTTTATCATTCAATTTCTGAAATTGAGTTTAGCAGAAGCTCATCCTTTTATTGTTGTTGTTAATATTTATTTTGCATATTGTCATGAGTTTGTGTGCATGTGTTGTTAAAAACATGGATTGCTCAATGGGACTGTAAAAATCATTTTCAATAAATCAAGTTTGACTGAATTTGTGATAAATCCTGTGACTGAGGCAGGCACACCGTAGAGATAAGTTTACAGAGGTTTTCCAGAAGCATTGTCATGTGAAATCTTGTTTGTTGACGTGATAAAAAGCGGAAGGTTAAATTATTTGTTGCCAGAAACAGTAAATCTCAAAAATGCTGTAACATGTACTAACATCCCATCAACCAGAAACTCCCTCCCTTATGACCTCTTCGGAGACCCATTTCAGAGTGTAACAGAGTGCTTTTCAGAAATTGACAGAAATTAGCTCTGCGCCACAGAACCATAAAAACGGAGAGGGAGAGGATGAGGGAGGCGAGGCGAAGGGAGCGAGGAAAGAAAGAGAGGGAGTAGCTGGTGGCTGGGTGCCAGGTGAAGCTCTCCTGAGAGCACCGCGGGCACTGTGGCAGAGCGATCCAGCCAAAGAGCTTTGTTGTGATAAATCAGATTCACAACCCTATTTTTACCCATCTATAAATCTCATCGGGAAAGAGGCAAGAGAGCCAGAAGAGAGCCATCGGAGGATTTGCGTATGCAGGAAATGAGCGAGTTACTTCCCGGTGCTGCGTCAGTCGAACACGCTCTAATGACCATTATTTATTTCTGCTGTCGTCCTGGTCCTGGATTCTAATCTGCAGCAGATCTGTCTACCAAAACGAGCAGATCATTAGGGACTGGAGAGAGATAGAAAGAAAAACAGAGGGAAGAGAAGAGAGATGAGAGGCAATTACCATGCTTTGTTAATTGCTCTTATTTGCACTTATCATGGCAATTACAGGCCACTGTGGGTACAAATGCAACAATGAGGATGCTGAATGCTGGAGGTGCATTTCAGGAGTGCTGTTGTGGTAAAATGAATGGATCTGGCTGTATTTCATACACCAGCACTTTGATGCAATTATTCAAAAGGATTTAATCTTGGCTACACAGGACCTTGGATGTCATAGTGCAATGAATTCCTGCTCTTCAGCAGATGATCCATCAGCACACCATAAAGAAATCCATTTACATTATAAAGTAACAGCTCGTCTTACACTTTATGAGAACAGTAGTAAACTAGTGATGTATTGTCATTGTGTAAGTGGTCAGGCACCTACACGAAGCTGTAATTAGAGGGAATATTTACAGAGTTTGAGTGTTTTTTTTTTCTTCAAATGGAATCACATGTCATAGCTGGACTGGATATGGAATAACTCAGTCAGTGTGACAGCAGTCTGCGGCCACATTTTCCAACAAGATGTATGGCCGTACCCATGCTGGATGCATGTACTAATAGGGGCATTTAAAGCTAATGAAATGACATGGAGGGTAGTGGCTAATGAACCACACAGTTTATGGTAATGATCGCGTCTTGTCCATAATTTAACCAACCCTTCCGCTTTGACAAGGATATTATTGATCGTCTGGGCTGAATCTGAGAGGCCCACTCTGTCTGAGTCTGCTCCGTTTCCAGACACCATGTTTCAATACAGAGTTATTCACAGGATGTCTTCACGTTACAGAGCATTGATTCGAGTTCATTATTTCATTTTTACCTTCCTGCGAGCGTCCCTTTTTTTTTTTTTTGGCCTGGACATGAAAATGCCTAATGATCTGTTTATCTGTTTTATTAGTGCACGCTCACACCCGCAGCTGGCTTTAATAAAAATTAATGATGTACAAACACCGATAATTAATTGTGTGGCATATCTGCTTCCCTGCACTACTTGCTTACTCAGCAAAGGGCAAAGACTGTGTGTGTGCCAGTTTGTGATGAGAATCTGCTGCTGGATTTACACCGGATTGAGTCGAGCAATTAAAGGGTGATTTGGATCCAGTGCAAAGACAGAAAGTTATCAAAAGTGGGTCAACTTTCAGAACAAGGATGAAAATGAAAAGGCTTTGCTGCTTTTCCAACCCCTTAACCAGTCAAGATTTGTCCTTTTTGTATTCTGTTGTCTTTGATATTTATTCATTATTTTTTTTTTTTTTCATGCTTCTGTGAGGAGTTATAGAAGGTCATTAAGAGGACTGTATTGTTATGGTTACCTGCAGGAGTGGTATGTAGGACCATAAACACTGTGGTCATGAAAATAGCCTTGGTCCATGTCCCCATGTGTACAGATATAAACAGAGTATTTCTCTTTATTCATGTTTTTCTTTCTGCAGCATGTAGTAGGTCTGAGTCATGAGAAGGACATATACATGTGCAAACAGTACAAATACAAATGGACTTTATAATGGCAAAGTCCTGCATGATTTAACTGTGGAGTGTGCGCTCAAACTGAAATAAGTGCTTGGGTTTAGATCATTCGAAGTTTGTAAAAACCCTCTTATGACCAGTTATACTAAGTCTGCTTGGATTTATTTTGATAATTTGCCTGTAGAATTCTCGCTTCACCTTAACGATGGATATGTCATCATGGGAAAGGTCTTGATTTCTACGTTTTGAACTGCACATATAGTCCAGGAGTTACGGTACGGAGAAGCTAACAGTAATAGGCATGGCAAATCCTGTCACCGGTGACCGGTTGGTAGTCGGAGGGTTTCATGGTAGAGTCAGCTAGGGCTGCAACCAACAACTATTTTAACAGTCGACTTGTCACCAACTATTGAAACTAATCGGATAATTACGTGCCTTTTCCTCAAATGTTTGTGCTGCCATAAGGTTAGTGATTTAAAAACCTTGCAGTTTTTCTTTTTTCGCCTTATCTAGGCTAAAGTGCTCCAAAACTTAGAAGGTTTTTAAGCGCGTACTCGTAGCTGCTGCATGGGACGCACACGCCGCCATGTTTGAATACCTTACCGCTCGGTGGAGACACTATTGCGCATGTGTGACTCTTAGCAAAGATCGTAATGAAGTACGATGCTTCACTCCACTGGAAAAAACATGTCTGGCGGCAATAGTCGACGATGGAATTCATTGTCGACCTTTTTCATTATCGTTTTTTGTCGACATCATCGACTAATCGTTGCTGCCCTAGAGTCAGCCCTGTCTGCATGAAACTTTTGCCTAGTTTGTGTGTCTATTCCCTGGGCAGTTTGTCATTCAAGGGGCAAATTATTAAACCAAAGACTTCATAGCGTGACCTTAAAACAATGACCCAAGAAAACAACGTCAAGCCAAAACCAGCTGATTACATGAAGTTGACACAAAAGTTGGAGATCTATGAGAAATTAAAGACCCGGTGTTGTTTTAACAAAATGTGTTTGAACTCATTGGTTCCTTTTTCAGCACACAGTCCCACAAGACCTTGATGCAGGCATCACTTCCCTTGAGAATAAAATAAAATTGCCATATTTTTACTCTTTCACAGCAGAAAATAATGAGGGGTTTGTGTTATGCCTCTCTTAGACCCTCCATTCCACCAACCAAAGCTTAAATGCTGAGTGCAGTGAGCTCGACTGGACCCATCACCGCTGCTGTCGAGACCAAGATGAGGGCGAAGCATCATCTTGTTCGAGGGCTGCGAGTAAAACGCCGCTGCCATTTGCAGACAGCCAACATCAGATAGGGCTTTTACCCTTTCGCTGAAATACCATTTTTATAGGGCTGCCAGTACTGTCATCGCTTTGCTAAAGACAGTCATATGACCGGCACACTGCATCTCTGAGGGCTCTCCGGGCTTGAGTGCCCGATCCTGGATGCTTGTCTGGAAAACTTGAAAAAATGATGATGGAAAAATGCGATCCAAGATGTGCAGAGAGGTTGTAAAATAAAGATAATATGAAGATCATTGAGATGTTTTAACTACACAAGGACAGCAGACGCATGAGGAATAGAAAGAAACGAAGGACAAGTGTTACTTGTTTAAATTGTCTGTTGACCTCATTTAGAAATGATGACGAAGATCCGAGAGGACTGAGAAAGCGAGGACTGAGACTCTAAAAGCCTACAATCGGAGACCACTTCTGTGTACCTACTTGATTCAGTGTTTGTGCTCCATTCATGCAAGAATTAATTACATGTCCTGAACTTTAGAGTCTGCCTTTTGTCATTTAAGAAATAGGACTCGAGTGCTTGTCTTAGAAAATACATCTCAACCTACAAGTGTAAGTGAATTTTACACCATGTTGGCACACCAAAATTTTTCTCATTGATTTTAAATCTCATTTCTTCAAAGTCTTACCAACCCTTTTAACATAAAAGCAAGAATTAGACTCTTGTTCTCAAATTATTCATGAACTTTGACATATATTATGATAAATGACCATTAAAATCAAGCTAATTACGCCGTCTAGACTTTTGTATGGCAGCTGATGTAATTCAGAAAGCTTGATACAGTATTTCAAGCTAAAAGGCCATGTTCTGCATAATAATGGTCCATATCTTGTCTGCATCTTTGGGACATTTATTCAGAAGATTACAATCAAATGCATTTCAGCTCTCTAGAAGCTCTGAGTGTAAATATAATCACTTTTTTCTCTCACAAATGATTAAATCAGAGCGGCTGCCATCCTAACCCTCTCTCATTAACTCGGATTTTTGGTTGCATTGGATAGCCTGTGTAGTATATGGAGCGTATTTATGCTATTCATAGTATTCCATCAAGTGGGACTGTATGGATTGTAGCAGCAGACTGTTCCAAGCAGATGTCCCCCCTCAAAGTTGGAATAGGAAATGAGACCCTTGGGTCTACCTGTTGGCTGGACTCAGCAATATGTGTGAGAAAATGTGGGCTATCGAGGGACTGTTGGCTTTGAAGTATCACACTGAGACATTGTGGCATCGAAAAAAGGCAGAGTCATCCCCCACATTCAATTGAAAGCTTTTTTACTCCAAGTTACAATCATGAACATAGTACTACGGAAATGGAAAATAAAGAATTTGTGATTTGTGTATCAGCAAAAAAAAGTTCTGGTCCAATAGGCTCATCTATCTGGAAAGAATAGGGTGAAAAGTCCCCACATTTGGCCAGGCTTTAACACGGTTTTCCCTTACTGTATATCTTCAAGTGGTTACCACTTGGAAGGCCTGCTTCCTTTGGTTAGTTTTACCTCTGAGTGCTCTCCTCCAAGATCAAACCACTTCAACCTCGACCTCGTTGACACTGACGCTTCAAAGGGCAACCTACGGGTTAACTGCTGCATGCAACACAGCCAGGAGCAACTCATTCAAGCAGGGAGGTAGGAAGTGTTGTAAGACAAACATATCCTGTGAGCCATGTGCCCTACTTCTTGTTGAACAAGCACGTAATTTGTTGCGATCTGAGGGCAACTTAAAATTACAGTTGATGTTATGAGCCCAAAGGAGGGTCGGAGTTGACCCTGTGAACATGGATGTGTTTTACAAGAGCCCATCTTGGATGTATTCATGGTTAAAAGGTCACCAATCAATTGCTTAGTTAATTAGTGTAATAGCACAACTTCGTCGGTCAACAACTTGGCATTAAGCATTATTTTCAAAATAGAACGCACCTATTTTAAAAATGGGACAAAGAGTAAATAAAACTGACAGTATGCAGGGACGTATCAAGCCTCTAATAAATAAGGTGGCCCAGCTACTGCAACAACATGTCCAAGGGTGGCATTTAGTATAGTATAGTATAGTATAGTATGTCTAGTAAAGTACAGTGTAGTATACTATAGTTCAATTTGGTATAGTAAAGTATAGTATAATATAGTAAAATATGGTATAGTATAGTATAGTATAGTAAAGTTCAATTTGGTATAGTATAGTATAGTATAATATAGTAAAACATGGTATAGTTTAGTATAGTAAAGTTCAATTTGGTATAGCATATTATAGTATAATATAGTAAAAATGGTATACTATAGTATAGTACAGTATAGTATAGTATAGTATCATATAGTGAAATATGGTATAGTATAGTATAATATACTATAGTATAGTTCAATTTGATTTAGTATAGTATAATATAGCAAAATGTGGTATAGTATAGTATAGTATAGTTCAATTTTGTATAGTATAGCAAAGTATAGTATACTATAGTAGTGTATACTACAATATGGTATAATATAGAATGGTACAGTGTAGTTTAGAACAAATAGTATAGCATATAATAGAATAGTATGGTATAGTACAGTGTATATATACTGTATATACTATATACAGTATATATACAGTGGTATAGTGGAGTACAATATCGAGTATTACAGTACAGTTGTTTTGCCCTGCAGTCAAGTTTCTGAGTGTGAGTTTTGTCCTGTTAGACTTACTGTAGTTGAAAAGTGAATTGCACAGAGCCATGTCAAAAGTTCTCTAGAGTTAATTCATCCTGCAAGATGTTATTAGGCTGTTTAAGGACATCTGTCTATAAATATTACATTGTCATAAGATGTTACTAAATTTTAGAAGCTAACATGAAGCTCCTTAAATTGTTTAATATCTAAAAAGCTGGATAAAAATAGGACGCTAATAGCGCTAGCATCCCTATGGGTTTTTCAGTGTAAATTAGCGTCACGCTAATCGCTAGTGATTCATGTGTTTATTTATTTAATATGACTGCTGGATTTACAGTGTTTGTGTGACACTTATTAAGAGTTACAGCTTTGGTTGTTATATGCACCTTTTTGTGTGTTACAGTTTTACAAGCATTCAATCCAATAAAAGGTCAAAACGGCAAGAAGCTTCCTGGTGTTTACTGGAGCAACTGTTAGCTATCAGTACAGCTAGTTCAATACACGAGAGAAGGCAGAATAACAGTATAGTATAGTATGGTATAGTGTAGTAACACACAGTATAGTATGGTATAGTACAGTACAGTAATTACAATAGAACATATAATAGTGTAGTATCGTACAGTGTTTTCCTTTGTTACATTGGTGTGAATTGCCCAACACTGAGGTCTAAAAAGCAGGTATTTGATACTAAATGAGCATTAATCACTGTTTTAAACTTCCAGCTCAGTTGATGCTGAATTACTGCATCTGTTTACTGCGCTGATTAAAACAATTAACATCCTGAGGCCTTTTTCTCTATAAACTATAATTATAAATTAAGAAATATGGTCATACCCCTAAAAGGAATAATGTAAAGTGACTATGAATTTGTCATAATTCTGCTAATGATTAATTGAATTTTCATTGTATCCTTAAATACCCTAAATATAATCTAAACTAATGAGGTGAATATTCCTGTAGTTGTATTCTCAGAGTGTTTCTCATCCCTTTTTAAGCAACATTATTACCTGTTAGCTGCACCATCACTAATTATGTGGCTGGAGCTTTTACTCTTTCACAGTCTCCTGATTGAGACAAACAGGTTATTAAATGCAGAGATGGTTAGCACTGCATCACAATAGACTTGGACAGTGTAGATTTTTTTTTTTCTATTCTGCTATACGAATTTAAAAATATGATCCCATGTGGTATACAGCTCTCTGCATGAACAAATAGTGTTTTTCTCCTCTTTTTACCCTCAGACTGCAGCTGACCCTGGAGCTGTGTCAGGCTGTATATACCGCAAAGAAGTCAAAGAAGGTCACCACAGCATTGAAACAAGATTTACAAGACACATTTGATCCATGGAGCCAGTCACCTCTATGAGGAAGTGCAACATTGTACTTCTGAAAATAGGAGTCAAAATCCCAGAGCGGAGAAGCTTGTCAAAGTGAAAGCCAAGAAACAGGAATTGGCAGCATCTGTTCTTGGCTGAATGTGAGGCCACAAATGCCATAAACACTCCTCATGTTGTATACGTCCTGGATGAAAACCCACTCGGTATTTTACAGGTCAAAACAAGACATTTTAATCAGCATTAGGAGATTTAGGAGAAGGGAAAATCAAACATTAATCTAACTCAATTCAATTTTGCACGATCGTCCATTTCCAGCAGATTTAATTGTTTGTTTTTTTGTGGATTTTCTTCATTAAACTGTAAATCATAAAGGTCAGATTGTGGTGTTTTGCTTGACAGTGAAGCTTGAGATGCAGACACGTGAAAAAAAATGCACATCAAATGTCAGACATAAGTGTGCACTCGTGCCATGTGCATATTATTCAGCCATGTACTTCTGCAGGAGATGACGTTTGACCTCTTTGATGTGGCTGCAATGACGTCCTCATTATTTTTCATACAAAAAGGGAACAGATCAAAAAGTGGAGAGGAGAGAGGAGGATTGTAAAGACACATGAGACTGAGTAATAACCTTGCCAATGGCATTCATTGTCTGGATGTGTGTGTGTGTGCGTGTGCATTGAATATATGTTTGTGTGTGTGTCAGGGTCGGCGCATTGATGGTGTGGGCAGGGACTGGCTAACCGAGAGGCCTTGTAGACTTTTGTGGCCATGTGGCCTCATGCAGACACGCACACACACTCGCACAAGGGCATCAAAGCTTGTACACACTCGATGGACAGCTCCATGTGGAGAGGAGCTGCAACCCTCTCAGCAGGGGGTCTGGCCTGCTGCCTTCACATCACTTAGCAAACTGCTTGATTGTGAACTCGTTGGTAATAGTAATTAAATTTGTGGAGGGTGTGGGAGGAAAACGAGCGGTAATTTAGAGGAAATTCCAGCCGTAAATATGCCAGTGAGTGAGCATGTGCAGTCTGCATTAAAAAAACATCAAAGCAAACTCAAAAAAAAGGGAAAATCTTTTGGAGAAAATCCTCATTGTGCAAAAAAAGGGAAAATAAACTCAAAGAAAAATCATTTAAAAAATAATGTGGGGGAGAAAAATCAGGCTTCACTTTTCGTGCTGCTGCTTCTGCTGCTGTATAAATATTCCTCGCCACACAGCAGCCAATATTGAAAATGTAAGATAATAATTTCATTATTTCCACATCACAATTTCATAGACTTGAAGTAAGTAGAAGGCACTATATGGCTGTAAATATTACATGAGCCAGGTCATTGAGAAAGTAATTGGCTTTTAGAGTTGGCTGATACTGCTCCACTGTCTGGGCGAAGATTTATAATGTTGACTTACAGTACAAGACAGAGAGGGTAATCACGGAGACAGTTTATCCTAAAGCTCCATCTGTCTCTCACCCTCCGACACTGGGCGAGGAGTACAATTGTTTTAGGGCAAAACAGGTGTCGACCTAAATCAACCTGGACCGCTTCACGGATAAAAACGGACGGACGGATGATGAGGAGTACGAAAAAAAAGAAAAAACATGGAAGTTTTAATGTATTGAAATTGGATCCGGGGAGGATCTCATACTTCATTCCCAATGCATGTTGCTGCACTTCCTCCTCATCCTTTTCCAATCCATCTTCCTCTCTCCAGGTTTTAGCTGAAATTAAATTGATTTGCATAATGAAAGTAGATCAAATTTACTGTCCAGAAGTAAAATGGGAATAAAGGAAGGACTTTTCCTCTGAGGGGCTGATGGGGTATGAGCCGCAAGAGGAAGGAGAGAGGTAAAAAGACAGAAACAATAAAACGCAATTATACAGCTTCAATAAAGTCTTAATTCCAGCGCGAACAAAAATACCCAGATAGGCGGTTCACATCATTTTATTCCACAAAGCTATAAAGGCTCATCTAAAGTCGCAGTGAGCCTCACAACGCCACAAATTGGCTAATCCCTGATGTAAAATACTAAAAAAAAAAAGAAAGAAGGAGGGAAAATTACAACGTCCCCTACCCAAGTGACAGCCTCCACTTTTAAGGTGTTATTACTAATTACATTTCTATTATGATGGTAATGCTTGGCAACCTTCAACAAAGAATCTCATCCAATTATTCTCTAATTTGTCATATTTCTGTTCTGGGTACCATTCTTGGGTTTGGGATCGCTTTGAGTCTGGGAGATGTTGACAGAAATATGACAAATCTGGGAAATAAAACCCGAATAATGTCTATTAGCAGTTTTAGAGAAATTCTATTAGTTTTCATGTTCATTTTTCTGTGAAGATTGTCGACCAGGAAACATGTGAAGCTCTACTACAATTGAACTCTTGTTAGCCTTGATGCACGGATCATGCGCTACGTAAACACTCAGACCTTCATCCACTCCAATTCAGACAAAGAAGACGGCATCTCAGAGGATTGATATCTGGAGACCTGCTGCAGTTCCTCTCTATCAGAGCTTCTCCCCTTCTGCCGCTGTGCGGTTAATAATATATGAAGGCTAAGTCTTTATGTCGGCTTCCTCTCTTCATCGCTGAAATGTCAGGAAGAAGGTGGAAAAGGGGAAACAAAGCTTGAAGCATAGCATACTATTTCAAACAGCTATAGGAGCATCACTCTTGTCTACAAATAAGAAAACACACACGCGCTCATATTTTTCCTTTGTATAAAGATAAAACTTGAGGTCTTTGGTGAAAGACAGGGCAAAGGGAAGAGCTGAACACCGAAGATAGAGCAGGGAACGAGATGCAGCAATGGGCCAAGGTTGGGAATCAAACTCAGGGCTGCCACAAGGAGGACTTCACTCGAGGGGCTCGATTCAACCTTCACGCTGACGCTCTGACTGCACATTATTCTGAATTTGTCTTTAGGGCCTGAAGACTTCTTTTTAAAATAGTTGTATGTCTTTATTAGGAGAGATTCATGACAAAACTAGAAAGAATCCACATTAGTTAAAGTAAAAGTTTAGTATCAAAAAGATTTAAAGGAAAAACTTAATGAGTGGTGTCAAAGTTTGATGGAACTTTTACTCAAATCCCATCACTCGTGAAATATATTCTTACACATGTGACAAACTCCCTCAAAGTCACCAACTTTGTACCTACTGGTCATAAAAAACATGTTTGAATATGACGTAACACCTCACCTCAGGCTGACATGTATTTAATTCCCGATTTAAGGCTTAGAAAATTGAAGTCACAATAGAAGTTAAATTGGCTGCTAAAAAAAGGGTCGGTTTTGTAAGCTGTCCCATGCCATGCAAATTAAAAGTCCCAAGACCATCATTCACTAGTCTGCCGAGCTACAAACTCCACTCTTCCTCAGCCAAGGTGACACCAAAGGAAGAACCAGGCACTATTCATGGATTTCACCAATAAAAAATCCAAGCAATCTTGTCAAGCTGGTTGACCATGCAATGGAAATGAGGCAGTAGTAAGAATCTGGTTAAGAAAATGGATTGCCAGGCCTTTAAATAAACTATGTCCACTATATTTCCATGTTGCCTGATTTTTAATTTTAAATTCCACAGGAGAAAATAATTTCAACTTCCCAAAGAGTGCAGAAACTTCTCTGTATGGTTGGCACCTAGTTCATGCCTCCTATTGTAAGGGGATTTGACAAATTCTTCATCTTACAGTATAACACTATTAACAATACTACTAATATATCAATAAACAAAGACTACCGATGTCAAGCCACGCACACAAAAAATAACCATTCATCAGCAATAATTTTGCCCAAGGAAACACAAGCCAGCAAAGTCAAGCACCAGAAAATTATATTTTTGCATCCAACAATGAACTAAGTCGATACTTTAAGCCACTGAGATTCTTGACCCAGAGTAACCTGGTTGGCGCGCCACACTACTGGTTGCTTACACTACAGTGAGTTTTGATGATCAGAAAAAGTTTAGACGCTGTTTCTCTGATGCAGCAAACAAAAAATTTTGTGATGGACATAACCAAAGTCCATTCGCAATTGAAATCAAGCAACACTGAATAAACAAAGAAAAATGCCAGCATTTATATAAGCAAGTAAGTATAAGGTGTGTGTGTGCGTGTGTGTCTAGAAGGAAAAAAAAATCCTTTATGCCTTTTGTATCATATTAGATATTTTGTGATACTTCTATCAATCAATTTGATCAACAAATTTCTAAAAAAAAAAAAACACCTGAATACAGTCTGATAAATGATAAAAATGTCCTCTTGTAGTTTATCAGTTTCCAAAAACATCTAATGTATCAAACAAGATAAATAAATATTTGTTAAATTTTAAGGACATTTCGATTTTTCTGGTTTTCAGTACAGGGTTTTTCCTGCGTTCAAAATTGCGTGGCGGCCGCCTCCACCTAATTTTGTGCCGCCCCCAGCCAGAGCGATTGATTTCGCTCAACACAGCGTAAAGCTCCAGCTGTGTTGATTGAGCGTATGATGTCCCTCTGCAGCAGCAACGTATTTTAACTGCAGTTGCAGCGTTGCACCACTATAGAGGCGCTATATCAACAGCAGTGCATCGGAAAGACCTGAAGCATCTACCGAAGAAGAAACGGATCGAATCATGTTTTTTTTCCCGCTAGTTGGTGCTATCGGCGTCCTGATTTTCCCTGGCGGCTGGACACAAACAGGTAAATACTGCTTGTCTTTTTTGCATCCGAGCATGACGTGTTTATTTAAAAAAAAAGTTTACTCCGTTTTTAGCGTTGCAGTTATGACGGGCAAAATCAGCCAGTACTTTAAAAAGCGACCTCGCGAGGAGGAAAGTCAAGAGTCCAGGTGAAACACAGCAGAGAAAAAAAAGGAACAGGCAGTTAAAATGCTATAATTCATGGTGGTGACAATGTGGAAATTTGTGTCAGGTCTGAAAGTACTTCACAAGGGACTGGTGATCGCGAGGGTCAGAATGCAGGACAGGACGAGTCGGCGAGGCGAGGGTAATTAATTAATTAGTTTCCAATTAGGAGCATAACAACGCAGAGCCGACGTGTACGTGGTTTTTATTCCTCTTTCCAGATCTTCTCAAAAACACAGAGCCAGTGGCTTTGACAAGCAGTGGCTCAATCAATTTACCTGGCTCAGGCATACTGAGGAAGGCATGCACTGCTATTTATGCCAAAAGCACTGTGCCCCAACACAGCAGGCAATTGCTGCCTCCTTAGTGAGACAGCCATCAACCAACTACAGGCTGGACACATTAAAAAGACATGAGGTGATAGTCGTTCACAAAGCAGCAGAAGAGAAGGAGAAGTATATTAAAGATGGTAGTACCTAAAAACACTCAACTAATAAAGTTACAAAAACTAAAATAACATAGTTTAGATAGTTTAAGAAATAATTGGTTGTCGTTTTTTTTAGGGAGGACACTGCAACGTATACATATATATAATATATGATTGAAAACACTATCACTCTTCATGTCTGTATCAGAATAAAAACAAAAATACTTCATGCATGATGAATTGTTTTGTTTAAGGTGAAGACACCTCTGCGGAACAGACTGAAGGAGAGGCACTTGGATGTCTGTTGTAAGGTGGCCGTTGATGGACCAGACCAGGAGGCCTTGGACTACAAGGAGTGCATGAGGAGGTTCTACAGAATGAAAAAGAGGAGGCTGAAATGTTCTGTCTGGTTGTGAGATGTGTGGATGAAGTGTACTTTCAATTTAAAGTTGCCAGCTGATTTGTGTATGTATATAGTTTTAATAAATGAATGCTTTAGCATGATAATGGTCACACTCTTTTTTGAACTCTTAACTTAAAGTATGTTGCCTGTAAAAGAAAGTGAGTCAGTTGAATTTACAAATACATGCACGTCATGGCGCATGGTCAGGATGGTGCCACCTCTGCCTCAATTTGAGCCAGGAAAAACCCTGCAGTAGTAAGTGAAATAAACATTTCAGCTTCAAAAAAAAAAAAAAAAAATTCTGACCATAATTTGTGGTTTCGGGCATAAAGGGCTAACAATAGTACGACTGATATACCAATAAACCAAGAATACTGCTGTTTTCACCCAAGGAAACACAAACCAGCACAGCAAAGTCAAGCACCAAAGTTATATTTTTGCAACCAACAATGAAAACCAAGTGTAAGGTGTGTATGAGTGTGTATGAGTGTGTGTAGCGCAGTTCAGTTCATTAAAGTCTGTCCAGAACAACGGAGGAGAAACAACAACAACAAAAAGTCTGTTCAATAAATCAGTCCCACATCCACAGTTCAATACAAATCGACAGGAGTCCTTTGCTCCCGATATTAATCCCGATATAAACCCAAAACCCACGGAAAACAAAATGGGAGCACAGCGGCTCTGTCTCTAGTTGAAGAAACAAAGTTAAAACAAACAAAATAAAATCTGACAGTTGTCAGTACTCACAGACTCGTCGTCAGTCAGGAAGCAGCTCCAAACTCCAAACTCCAGCACAGGAACATAAACAATCCAGAAATCCTGTCGGACGTCGGCCGTGTGAACTCCACCGATCCGCGGATCACTCCGGTACACAATCCGGACCAAGGACTCCGGACTCCGCCGCAAAAAACGGACTTAAACCGGCTTTAGCGGCTGTAATAATCCCAAGTGTCAGATAATGTTTTCTCCTGCTCCCTCTCTTCTCTCCTTCAAATCCTTAAAAAAACATTTCTGGGGTCCAGAATTTAAACTGACCGGGTATTTTAACGTGCTCTGATTGGTGGATTTGGAGTTTGTGGGTGTGGAATCGGAACAGGTGTGATAGAATAAATGGATGAATGAATGAATGAATGAATGAATGAATGAATGAAATGGTGCGGCGATGAATGGGTGCAAACTTATTTTGAGAGGCAGGTGAGAATCTGCATTTTGTTGACAAGCAATCAAGTATTTGGTCATTTTGATCACATCTTAGTAGGGCTGGGCAATATGGGAAAAAGTTTATCACAATGTATTTTTTCATATCAGTCAATATTGATATATATTACCATATAAAAATGAAATTTAAACAGTGCTTATTGCTTATGGAAGTCAATCTGTGCCATCTGATTTTAAATTAGGATTTCTAAAGCTGAATTTTTGCAACGTTTTGCATCAAACTCAGAATTTCAAGCACGCATTTTTATTTCTGACACTTATTTTTTATCAAATGATAAAATAAATTAAGTGTAAAAAAAAAATCGGTCTCTAACATAATATTTTTGAAAGATAGTCTTATTTCCTGTAATTAAGATAAGTTAGAAAAGCTCTGATATCGCAAAAGCAAATATAAGAACCACTTATAGGGGCATTTAGCAGGCACCAGTTTATAATAAAAATATGGATATTGATTTTTTTTTTTAGAGCAATCTTCAAGTGGACACTTGAGGTACTGCAGGGTTTTTGCACCTGATTTTTAACTCTGATTTCTCTTTGTTGAAAAGTTTTAATAACTTGTTGCAGAACTTGAGGCTTTGACCTGGTTTTACCTCTTACAGTTTTTTATTTTCCTTTAGACTCTGAGGCTACAGTACCACACATCCAGTCTAGCACTGAGCTGACACACACAGAGCGGGCAGACATCCACTTTCACACTGACCCTCACTCCTACAGTCAACCGGGTTTCTAATTTACCTAACCTGCAGGAGTTTAGACTGTGCAGCAACACATGAGGAACATACAGGAATACCCCTGATAGCTGCGAGATGACAATGCTAACCCCATAGCTTCAGCTGCCCTTGAGAGTATTACTATTTATTTTCATTAAACAGGATCTTTTTCTTTTCTAATTAAAGAACAGAGCCCAAGCTAGATTGAGGTTTCTCCTATTAATGCAAGCACATGTGGTTTGTAATGACAGAGCGAGGCTGAGGCTGACGCCGGGCGGTTCTCTTGAGCCCAGCGCTGAAGCACCCTCTTCAGAGACTCAAGCCCCCTTTATTGAGATGACCTTATAACATCTTGTGCTCATGAATAGCAATGAATCGAAACAGGACTGATGAAATTTCTATTAACAAAGTCACGGCGAGTTTTCTGACAACACAATGCTCATTCATGTGAGACACAAAACAGCCCGTGCATAACTTTCTCCCTTTATCTCCCCAGCATCTGTCGAGCCAAATGCCGTTTTACGACCGATTTTTGCATAAGTGTGAAAACAAAGTGCTGGCGAGGGTGTCAAACTGGCAGAACAAGCTTGTTTATCAGTGTTTTTCATGCATTTTATGGAGTTTTTCTCGCATTGTTATTATATATTGAACACCAATTGAAGTGATTGGTCATTGTTGTTATCTGTGGGGCCACTGCGAACGCCTGAATAGTCAATCAAGAGGGAGGGAGCCGAAAACCCATTAAGGGCTACATACATAAAAACTAATCATACCCCCAGAAATTGCATCCAAAACAAAGAACAGCAACATCTGGTGATTTACAGCAAAAAACAGGCCAGGCTTTAAAGAAAAAATCAGAAGAAACACAATAAGCCTGCTCTACCTTTAACCTTGACTGGCTCTGGACTTCGTCAACCCTGAACTGAGTTACGATCTCCATTTAGAGGACAATTGATCCAGCCGGGGCAAGAAATCGTGGGAGATAGTGTGAGAACCCCCATGCATGCAGTGATATATGCCCCATCTATGTCCTCCTACCATTACATAAAGGAGAATATAGTATGACTGGAGGCATGAGAGAGTCAGTGTAACTCCCAGTGGGAAAAGAAGCTCATGCCAGAAACACCTCCCACTGGAGTGATCAAATACCCAGACAGCCATTAATTAATCCATAAATCTGCCGAGTGAACACCACTGACGAAGCGCTGAATGTTCAATAAGACAACTTTTGACATCCAGGTGGAGGTCTGCGTGTCTCCTTTGCGAGGTGCTGTTAAAATGTTTGGATTATTAGTATGCATCCTGCAGCGCAGGCCTTGGATCAGGATCTGCAGACTCGCTCCTGCTGCACGGGGGCTTGAAGGGCAAACAAAAGTAGCCTTTTGTTGTGGGGGCGTATGATGGCATCAAAACATGATTGTCTCTCGCTTTTTGACTGTGACATTTTCCTTTCATTTTGTTTTTTTATTTAAAGGTTGCGCCTCAAGGGGGGCTCCTGTTAGCGACAAAGAGGTTTTCTTTTGAAACATTTACATAGACGTGATGATGGTTGATGTCGGCTCACGTGGAGCGATGTTCTTATGGAGGAAGAGAGGGAGAGAGAGAGGAAGAGAGGCACGATTGTGTAGCTCCAACAGAAAGCACAAGCCCAAAGTACAAAAACAAAAACAGGATTTCAAAGGGAGACAAAAGAGAGCGGATCAAACTCTCTTTTGGGGCATGTTAAATCTTTGGTAAGATTGTTGATTTGAATTCCAACGAAATGAAAAGGCTCACACGCTCTGATAGAATTTATCGATCAGCTGAACACTTTATTGAAAACAATTGTTATCATGAGAGACGATGCAGAAACAACAAAGCAAGATCGAGATCTCTTGGGTATTTTTTTGGTTATCTGGCTTAACTAATCCTGACTTGAGGAGTCCTAAGATTTATCAAAACTTTCTCAAAAAAGTGATTTTCAACCTGATGAATAAACCAAAAGTGCCTGTGAGCTGGTTTACATTAACAAGCAGAACTAGAGTTTAACACATAAATGCAACTAAAGTGAACACAACTGTGCTCTCAATGTGTAAATTAAAACTCAAATATCAAATTATGTCAATGAAGCAGTGACTTATATACATGCAGTAAACCAGCCTTAAAAGCAGGTAATTGTGGTCAGTCATTCTGACTCTTGCGTCAGAACTTGAGCTTAGCTTTCAACACCATCATCCTCCAACAGCTGATTTATAAACTGGTTCGGCTAAAGCTTAACACCTCGCTGTGCAGCCGGCTGCCGGACTTCCAGACGGGGAGAACACAGGCAGTACGGGTCGGCGGAAACACATCCAGCTTCATCACCCTGGACCCCCCCAAGGATGTGTGTTGATCCTCCTCCTCTTCATCCTGCTGACTCATGATTGCACACCGACGCTCAGCTTCCAACCTCTTCTTCAAGTTTGTGGACGGCATTATAGTGGTGGGTCTCATCAACAACAGAGATAAGACAGACAACAGGAGCACAGATCTTTTCTTTTCTCTTGAATACTTGAACATTCAATTTCTACATTTCTATTTTTAATCTTTTTACTGAATATTTACAATTTTTACACTGATATTCCCTTGAGTAATGCAATTTCAATCCTCTGTATATGTTTTACATACATTTCAGAATTGACAATAAAACTACCTTGAACCTTGAAGTGAACCGGGTTAAAAACCCTGAAGTTACCATGGTAACCATATCCCTGCTTTGTAGTACACCCCTCTGGTTTACATTAAGTTAATTAAATGACCACCTATTGAAACAAGAATGAGTCTTGTTGAGCAAAAGCACCAAATAGACTCTAACAAGAAACAACCCTCCCGTTATTTTTTGTTTGTTTGTTTGTTTTTTTACTTCTGAAAGTGTTCTCAGTGATCTTTAAATTGTGATTATGATGTTTTAAGCCAAAATAACATATCATAGGAGCTCTTGGACACTAATGTCTTTGGGGACATGATGAAAGTTAATACCATAATTAGATTTCTTACGAGCATTGCAATCTGCTAACCCACACACTTGTTCCGCGATCATCCTTTTTACTTCTCTGAGTCTGGTCTGCATGGCCAGCAGGGCTCCGGGGGCGGAGCCAGGAATTGTGACATAGGAAATCTCACTGTGTCTGAACCTGCTGTTTGGGTCTCCCAGAGATTCACAGCGATATGAATGAAGAAATACTTAGAAATACAATTTCTCACTAAGAAGGAGAAAGAAAGAAAGAAAGAACGAAAGAGACAGCAACAATGAGGGTTATCACTGAAGCACGAATAATTGTAAAACTATTGTACCTTTTGAAAGAACTGGAAAGTAATGATAACCTACAGGTTAATGAATGTAACATTAGCGTTGATAATTATGATGATGATAACTGTGGCTGGGATGATAATATCTATCAAAACAGTGACATTAAACAGAACAGTGGTAATAACGTTAAGATTGGAGTGAGGAAAGTACGGCAGCGGGTAATTCAGAGTAAACTACGAGACAAGGGAGCTAACAGGAAGACGGATGGTTAGTATCTTTAATGGGAAATGACCTTTGACCTTTAATGATCCAAAACTTTGCCAGCTTAGACGAGGAGATTTATCAAAAGAGAAAGTTTAAACCTCCTTGAAAATAGAGAGGGCGAAGCCTCATTAGTATTAAGTTTTTTTAGTTTGACAAGGACATCAGTTTAAATTAGCACTATTCCAGATTGTACTTTAACAAATCCTCAAATTTATTTCTTACATAATTCTAATTTGTGCACAACTTAACTTTCACATGCTCGTATTAATTTTAATTGCTTTCCCAATTAAATTGAAATCGCTTGTTTGGTTTGTTAGAGGCCATCTGTCCAGGAAATACAGAGCGAACAGGCCTTCAGAATAAAAGCCTCTTCAGAAATAATCTGGCATGAAGCCCTTCTTTTATGTGTTTTAATCATTTTTCCAAATTAATTTTAAGAAAAAAGATAAATTTGCTGGCAATCTTGATTTGATTTGGTTTGATCTTGATTCGTCAGAAATTTGGTGGCCAAAATAAATAAATAAATAAATAAAAGTATGAAATTGTC